AAAGATCAGTAATCAATTGATTTTCACTCAAACATTTTGGAAGGAAAAGGAGAAAAAAATTTGAAAATTGGCGGTTTCAAGGCGCGACCACCGCACGCCAAAGGGTTAAGGCATGGTGTGGGTCATCTGACCTTGTTAAAAAGTTTAATTAATAGATAGATTTAATAGCATGATGTGAGTCAAGTAAATGAAAACCACCATTTATACTTCACCGAATCAGGCTCCTATGAGACAGAAACAACAAAGCAGTGATGGTAAGTTATCCAGATAGGATGGCTGTAGAGGTCTTTAATTGTCTTAAAGAGTCCATGTTCAGGAGAAACTGCTTCTCTTCCTTAGGATGTTAGAATGGGTCTCACATGATGCTGTATTAAGTACTGCATGACTTTTGGCATTTGAGTAAAATGTTAAACATATAAAGCATAATACACAAAGATATCAAAATATGTATGTATAATTAATAAATAGATTATGAGGCATATAATCTCCATAATATAAATGAGCATAAAAGTCAAATGTATATAAGATAACTATTTAAAACAAACAATTATGGAGAAATAAAATTTGAAATGTTTGACAATCAGTATTTAAAAATACTGATAATGGATTTTAACATACATTATTGGAGCATCCATACTGGAAAAACTCTTTTTTGCATACAGAAATTTCTTAGACTTTACCTGTATATCTTCTATGGGACTGGTAATAATCTTAGTACTCTTCGAAATCTGTTGTGTCATTGTTTTTTGTTCACTGGTTGTACTAGTTTTCTTAGTTATACACTTTTCAGGTGAAGATGGGTCTGCCCCTGTACTTTCTGTTGTAGTAATAGTTGTAAATGTTGATGTTGATTCAGATACCAAAGGCTGGGTAACTATAGACTAATGAAGATACAAATATATAAGCCCATAGCATAATAAATACATCATTTTAAAATTTAAAGTAAAAAAGCATAACAAATTTTACAACTAATATTTATATTTCCTCCCAAACATAAAGCAAGCAGTGGAATTTGAGCTATTAGCTAAATTAACATGCATTGAGTAAGACACAACATGCAAAACTAATTAACAATTATAAAACATAGACTGGGAGGTTCAAAGCCACAAACATATATAAAAACGCACAAAGGACAACCAGTTAATTATCTTATATTTACAGAATGAGCATACAACATTTTCTCATTTCTAACAACTGTATATATTATAATGTGAAGACAAATAATTTTCTAAAAAACTACTATTACCTATGTTTACAATAAAATGTCAGCATAATGAATGCTTTAGGAACAAAATATTCAGAGACTTAGAAAACTTTGTGGTCAACAGTCTACTATTTCATATGCACACAGATTGCCACTAGATAAGGCAACAGTCACTGGAATGGGTAACGTTTAATCTATGCTAGAAGAGTTACATAGTTCAGAACTAAAATTTCACAAAGTAAAATATGCTGTAATAAGAATATTGCACAAAAAATATAAATCAAGATTCAGATTATTAAAAAAATCTTCCAATTATTACAAAGCTTACGATGTAGAATGTAGTACACTTGATAATTACTTTTACTCTTTAAATAATGAATGGATTTAACAACAAATAAATTTTACAGTAATACAGATTCTTTTCACAGTTTCATTATACTGACATTTTAGTGTATAAGAAAATGATAAACCTTAACTGTTTCCAATAGATGGTCCTCATTTGCATGTTTCTGAAAGTGAGCAGGATGAGAATAGTCTGTGACATCACTGGCAGTTAAAGGTTCATCAAGGACGGAACAGTTTGCTTTTATGGTAATTTTTCGGATGCTTTTAGCAGATGACAAGGAAGTCTGATCACCAACCGGAATTCTGTTCAAAGTAGACTTTTTTAAAGAGTTTTCCATTTCATACTCAGCTAGGCTGCCATCAGAAGAGGCATCAGAAGAGTGAACAGCATTTTGTGTTTCCTTTATTTTAGCATCTGTTGGAGAAACAGAATCGTTTTCTTGACGTTTAAATTTCGAACCATTGTTTGCCACTGTAGAATCTGCTTCAGTTTTCATTCTGATAAAACATTTGTTGTCTGTAACAGCATCACTACCGATAGAAACAGACACATCTTGAAAGTGATTTGATGAAAGTGGACGAGATTTAATTTCGGTTGCTATAGTTTTTATTAAAATTCTGTCTCGAGGCCAGAATTTCTGATAAGATTCTAAATCTCCAGGTTCCTTTAAGTCCACATCCGGAACAAGTTTTATTAAAATAATTAATAGGAGACAAATCAGAGGTGATACACAAACATGCAAAAAGTCAGGCAAAAGGGTGAAGACAGGAGAGGGACAGCATGCAAATAAACAAAGAAGTATTAGAAATTATTTATTATAAAATCAACACAAAGCAAATAAAGAAATAACAGTAAAAATTTACAACATTTAAGACACTATTTTAACTTGAACAAATTGTCTTTACTTAGGTTTTATTAAGATTAGTAATGAAATAATTATAATGATAGACTAAATATTATTGTTATGAATTGTGCACAATATTTTACACACTTGTTTTAAATGTATGTCAGAGAAAGGTATAATATATAATTAAGCTATTAGCTATCAAAGTACATATTATACATATTACATTAATACAAAAGGGGGGAAATTTATAATGCTGATCAGTCTAAATTCATTATTAAATAAATCAAGATTATTTTTCTTATTTAATAAGGGGGGGGGAAGAAAAGTGCATATTTATTGTAATATTTAAATGCAAAACACAGCTCTGTAATTAAACTATCCTAAAACTTAACATGGGAACATCAAAATATTTTATTCATCTTCTTAAAAAATTGCACAAATTAAAATTTCATCACTCATAATTTGTAATTGATAATTTATTTATTTTAAATTAATCTATTAATTAAACAGAGATTTTTCTTCAGTTTACATAGACACGTATTTAAGAAATACAAATGACTAAATTTTTACATTAATTTAATTTCCCAACACCTCACAGAACATTAATGAATCATTTTAAATTTTTTAGATTGCTGATAAATTATGCTGGGTGCAACACTAAATATATATGAGCATTACTTTAATAATTTCTGTTTTTTTCATCCGAGTTACAATTATCATACTTAGATGAAATATTATATAAAAACTTTTATTAAAAGGAAAACTTATCTTTATTAGTTTGATATTTTGCTTTCAAAGCATCAGCATTTAAGAAACAATGAAACAAAGGGTATTTTTAAAACAAGGGGGGGATAGTACTTAATTTTGGTGTTACAAGAACTGTATTAAAGAAATTTAAAAAATACAGCAACAACCATGGCAATTTAAAAACAAAAATCGCATTAAAAAAGGATTCATTTTTTTTTTAAACTGAAAAACTGGAGATTGCTTGCTCTACAAATGCTAATTATTTTTTCTACATTAAAATGAAATGTTTGTGAGTTGAGTTTAATACTCTATAAAACTGTCTGAAAATCAAACTAATTTTTTATTCCTATTCCATTAATATTTCCTTTCAAAATTCTGCTTGTCAACCAGTATATTACTCAAAATTTTAGCTTATAGTTAAGATATAGCCTTCTTTTGATTTTCAATTCACTTAAACTTTCAACTCTGTTTAAAGAAAAAAAAAAAAAAAAAGCACTCAGATTTTTATATTATGCCTAAAGGAGCTTTTTTTTTTAACATTTTGTATGTTACCTCTATTTATTAAATATCATGTTCTTCGCACTTCACATAAAATTGAATTCAACAGTAATGTCACGAAATATTTAAAAACAGCATACATTTAGAATTTCTGATAGACAGGCTTGTGAATTGCTTTTCCCCCCATACACTGTTGCCATTGCTTGCTTTGAAATCGTTGAGTTTGTTAAAGAAAAGTTCATTAAAGTTTTACAAAATCTGAAATAGATAATAAAACTAATTCAAATTTCGAGCATCCAGGTGCCCATGTTCAGGTGGTACACTATTCAAAATTTGACGTCTCTAGTTATTGTCATTTTTTCGTAATGCAAGAAACATACATACATTCATGCAGCTTCTTCATTATTTAATTTCTTTAAATATAATACAGAGAGATAATATTCGGTGGCAACAATTTAAAAAGTGATTCGCCATTTATAGTGAAACACCACAAAATGCCATTCTGAGACTAATAGCCCTTCTGGAAGGGCTAATTCAATGACCTGTTGATGGTTAGTACATATTTTTATTCTATTTGTCTTAGTTACTTAAAAGTTCTGTGTTATTTATATTAAGGTTAATTATTATAAGAAGGGCTATAAGATAAAGAAGAATGCAGAAAACATAAGTCCTGAGAAACATTACCTCTGAGATTTTCTTAATACTGTCATCTGTAGTTTCGTGAAGATTTCCGGTGACTAGCGGAGGCACTGGCGATTGTTGATTAGCTCGAAATTTATCCAAATTTGGGAAAACTGCAACACCACCAGCTGGTCTCTGTGTGATTATAAGCGTATTGTTTTAAACTTCTAAATAATAAGTTTACCAAACATACTGCAAAACAGTTTTATAATTTTTGTTAAAGACCTACAAAGAGTATGAAAACACAGATAGCAATTAGAAGAATTTGGATAAATTAAACTGCACACTGAAAGTTGCTCAAGATGGTGAAAAATGTAATTAAGTGCATCAGAATTGTCCTTACATTACAACATGTACGGAAATGCTAAAACGGACAAATGAATGCCATTAATAAATAAATCACAACATAATGTTAATAGAATATAGGTTATATAGTGATAGTTTCCAAATATGTTTAAGAAATCTTTTATGACAGAATATCATTTGCTATATGAATAGGCATATTAACTGTGTATAAAAAGGCTGTAAAATGAGCATATATTATTTGTTGCCAAAAAGGGTTAAGATAAATAGTAAAAAGGAATTTAGAATATCTAAAACTTTAATACTGAATAAAATAACTGAATGATAAATAGAAATGAAAAGTGGTCAACAACAAATTTCACAAATGGTTGTCCAAAGAAAAAATGATTTTTCTCTCTCAAGAACAAATCACACCAAATATGAAAATGTAATTAAGAAGAGATTGAAATATTATTTTCTCTACATTTAACTTTGATCCCTTATCCTTAAAAAACAAAACGTTCTAAATATAAAGTGGTGCCTTCCACCCTGAATATTCTATATGAGAAATGTGTGCACTAGCCAAAAAGTGTCCAACATAATAAATTTACTCTCACATTATAGACCATCTTGGACAAGTACTTCCAACAATATTAAAGGCAGATATGCAAGAAAGTTACAGGGAACTGAATCTTCCACTTTGCAGATGATTAGACTCGTTGTCAACTGAACTGAAAACTGGGCGATATTCAAAATATATGTAAATATTTTTTATAACTAAAAACTTAACATTTCTAAACTTGATGGTGTTTTTAATAGTTTATGACACCTTTATATGATGTTTTGCAGTCTCTAGACCAGGCTCAAAAACGGATTAAAATTATTTCCATAGTAAGCTACAGAAGATTGCCATATACATAACGAATAATTTACTATCCTGGAATGAACATTCGTTATACAGGGCACTACTGTATTTTATAAAATGCAATAATAAAGATAATATTTTTGATATAATTTTTTTTCTGAAGTGTATGCATTTTCATTAGTGCCAAAACAGCTTATTACAAATTTACCTATTATATAAATAATTTTATTAGTACTGGTCAATAGTATGAATGAAAAATGTGTTAAGATATGCTCTGTTTTTTAGTTCAGCAACTGATAAAAATTAATGTAAAATAACCATACACACATGAGAACGAGATTATTAATTTATCTGACATGACCTTACCTTATTTTCCCCTGGCTGAGCAAACTCTGCAGAGTTATCATAAGCTTGAATGAAATGTGTTGGTGAAATATGCTGTCTATCTTGTCTGAAATCTTCAGCAACAGGGCTGCGAAAAGGGGGAATTGCTAACGTATGGCGTTTATTTTCAGTGTTCCTTGATTCTGACATTGAGCGATTTCTATAACCAAGAGCTGTAAAAGTCTCACATTTCAATTTTCATTACTGAATAAATAAAAAGCATTATTAAAATTATGATACATTACTTAATATAAAGTACTTGAAAATAAACCATAATATCAATATCATAAAAGTAGTGATCAAAGTATACAACTCTGAAGATTTACTAAAAAAAAAATATAATTAAAAAAAAAAAAAAAAAATCTGAAGGCTTTCAAATTTTACATTACACCCAAAGGGGTGTTTTTTTAACATTTTGTGGGTTACCTTTATTTATTAAATATCATGTTCTTCTCACTTGAACCATAAAATTCAGTTCAACAGCAGTATCGTAAAATAGTTTTAAAATGAGCATATCTTTAGAATTTCCAATATACTGTATCCTAAAGTTTTACAAAATATGAAATCGATAATAAAACAAATTCCTAATTCAGGCTTCCAGATGCCCATTTTTAGGTGGAAACTTATATTACTCAAAATTTGATGCAAGAAATGCAATTCATTTATGAAGATTCTTCATTATTTAATTTCTTTAAATATAATACCAGGCTGTCATATTTGGTGGCAACAGTTTGAAAAGTGAACCCACATTTAAAATTTTCAACGCAAAATGCCAATGTTGCAAATAACTTTTATTTGTGATTACATTTCCCACTTGTATTTTACAACATGTGTGGCAACACGCTTTTTATATTTTTCTCTTGGCTACGTTTTTTTCGTTGTTGTCACTGTTTTACTTTACCATGTAGAATTTACTGTACTTGTGCCATTTTGGTTTCAATATATGTTATTTAGATGAATCTCTGCTTATTTATTTGTCTCCATTCCTAACGTTAGACTTCATCAGGTTAGGGACAACATGATTACTGTGCGGGGAAATTTATGAGCGAAGTGGAGATAAACATTACCGGCAGTTCGTAGCCTAACATGGCAGTTCTTAAGCTTACGTGAGTCAGCAAATTAGTTCGCAAAAATAGAAGCTGCAAAGATATTGGTTCAGCCATTATGCGGAAAAGTGATTGGCCTATTTGGAAATATAGAATTAAGTTCGTTTAAATTATCACGAAACGCTTTAGAAGTCGTGGAAGAAAACTGAAGAAGCCAGAGAGCCTGATCATGCGGCCCCAAGAGATTCGAAAGAGATTTAGAGATGATATGAGGTTTTTAATAAAGCAATAATTGCGCTATGATGGTTCTTACACTCCTGACGAAGATACTTTACAAAAGGTAATGAGATTGACAGTGCAAGAGACATTTGGCTGGAACTTCACAAAGTATTCGAAGATTCGTCCGATAAAAAAACTTTAAACATATGTTTACTGTTCTTCAAATTCAGTTGGTAAAATGATGATATGGCAGCTCATTTGTCAAAATTGAAAAATCTATGGAATGAACTGAACAGTGGGCTTGAAAAAGGAAGAAAACAGACTGCCAGAAATGCTGTTGATTTGTAAATATTGGATACTCTTCCTCCCAGTTATCGTACTTTCAATCGAGTTGGTTTCTTCTTAGTGATGAAAAGAGAACTTTAGATGAATTAACCCACAATTGTGCACCATGAAAAGAGAATTAAGGAAAGATTCTAATTTTTTAGAAACTTTAGATCAGGAAGCATTGATAGCAACTCCGGAATTTAAGCAGAAATCATCTATTAACAAGAAAAACATGGCAAGTGTAATTATTTCCACCAGAGAGGACATGGTCAGAACATGCAAGAAATGGATAGCTGATGGAAAACCGCCGAAACCCAGTCCACATTATAGGCCAAACAGGGAAGAAAAACAGTGTTGCTGCAATACACTTTCTAGCTGTAGATGATACAATATTTTCTGCAGAAATGAATTCTGATGATTGGTTTATTGATAATGGGGCCTCGAAGCATGTCGTCATAACAGGCCCTACTTATAGACTTCAAAAGATTGAAGCTTCCTCATAGCATCACTGTGGCACATGGAAAGTCATTACCAGCATTGGAAAGGCACCATCAAGATAATGACCATTGTAAATGGGATGAATCAAATCAAAATCTTGGAAATGTGTGGTATGTTCCATAAATAGTAAAAATCTATTTCTGTGTTAGCATCTCAAGATAGAAATCAAAACAGTGTGTTTGAATCAACATTAAGACTGCTATTTAAAAATAGATGGTGAAATAGTTCTGCATGGAACAAGAAATGCTGGTGGGGGTCTCTTCAAAGCCGTGATGAGACCTTAGTTCCTGAAACTCACATTGACATCAACATGACTGAGAATATGAATCAACTCTCCAACTTTATCATGAACGATGGGGTCACCAAGATAAAAGCATGTAAAGGCCATTGTAGAGAAAGAGTTGAATTTAAGATTAAGTTCTGATTAAATTATGTGAAGCTTGTGTATACGGAAAATTCCACCTTTTAAAGTTTGGAACCAGGAAAGTGTTACAAAAGCTGGAGAATTGTTCTCGACAGATATTTGTGGGCCATTTGATCAGTCATTTAGGAATAACCGTTACTTTGCAATCTTCCAAAGATGCCTACACCAAATTTCGATACTGCACAAATCAGAAGTAAAAGAGGTGCTTGGAAATTTTCATAGCTCATGCTAAACTTAGGGCATACGGTTAAAGAAATACCAGTGACAATGGAGAGAATTTGACAACCAACCGTTCGCAATCTGACAGCAGAATACCAGGCTCAGATCATATCACCAAACAAAATGGCGTTCTGACGAGAGAACAGACAGGAGAAATGCCATAACCAATACTCGAATGGATGGCTTTCCAGTTTCTATGGCGAGTTCTCGTACTTCATTTAACTAATCTAATGCGCCATCGAATCTAATGCGCATCCCCATTTTAAAACTTTAAATAATAAAAAAATTGTTTGTCGGCGAATGTAATGCGCATCAATGATATGAGGAATTTATTGAATCTTATTTTATACAACAATGGATTTGTATATAAACTATCAATTAATGGTATGATAATTTTATTTAAATTTAGATACCATATTTTATACAACAATGGATTTATACATAAAGTAGCAGAACATAGAATTAACCTATTAGTGGGCTATTGTCATGTGAAACAATCATTGTTAATTAGCACTACCGTATATACGGTACCTATCGTAAAATATGAACATGAAATAAATCGTAACATTTCTATCTAGCTAACAGTTTCTACAATCAGTGATTAATAGTAAACGTCTTTATTCACTAATGTTTTCATCACTGGAATCCTCGCAGCTCTCTTCGTCAGAAGCAGATTCATTTCTTCTTTCCTCATCATCGTCATCGTCATCCTCGGCGTTCCAGAGCACGTCATCGTCACTGCCATTCAATGAATTTGAAATGCAGCATTTCTTGAAAGATTTCACAATCATTGGTGCTTCGATGCTTTTCCAGGCAGCAGAAACCCAGTGTGCAACAATGTGCGGTGCAGCACGCTTAATTTTTCCTGTCGGGGTCAATACACGGTTTGGCTCACAAAACCATTTTTCGTACTCCGCCTGAACGTACCCCTTAAAAGGTTTATTTATACTAACGTCCAGGGGTTGTAACACAGACGTCATCCCTCCAGGAATGATAACAAGATCACTGCCTAGGCTGTGCATCTTCTTTTTTTACATCGTCGGTGAGATGACCACAAAATGCGTCCAGACAAAGCATTGATGGTGGATTAGAGAGCCCACCGGGACGGCGTTTCCATACATTTCGGAGCCAATCAAGCATTAATGATTCCGTCATCCACCCCTTCTCTTGGTTTCGAATCAGGACATCATCTGGGAACAGCTTTTCATTCTTAGGGGTTTTAGGGCATGTTTTCCGTTTGAAGATTAAGAAAGGGGGAAGTTTGCACCCGTCTGCTGTTATTGCCAGCATCACTGTTACGCGTTGTTTTTCACATCCCGAAGTTTTGATGATAACTTCCTTAGTCCCCCTTCTCCGTAATGGTGTAGTTACGAGGCATATCAAACCAAATTGCCGTCTCGTCAGCGTTGCCAATTTGCCCCATTGAAAAATTCTTTTCCTTCCGAAGTGTGATGACATACCGCTGAAATGTTAGTAGTTTTCCCTCAAAATCTGCAGGAAGCTTTTGGCATATTGTTGTACGGCGTCTTAGAGATAAACCCATCCGCTTCATAAACCGATCCACCCATCCACGGCTAGCCTTAAACTCTTGTTTCGGTATTCCAAGAACTTCAGCCTCCTCTTTTGCTTTATTTCTTATGGTGTCACTAGTCACAGGTTGTCCATTCTTCCTCCTTTCACGTACAAATTCCAAAACTTTTCTTCAATTTTAGGGTGTCTTCCTTTGCGAGGGCCAGTGAATTTCTTTCTACTAGCTTTAGTTGCAAACAGTGCCAATTTCTGTTGCCGCCACAAGCGAACATTGCTCTCAGCTACGTTGAACTCTCTCCCCTGCCTTTCTATTGCCATTTTTTTTCAGCATAAAGAATTACTTTACGTTTGAAAGTAGCGTCATATGACATTCTTCTCTGTTTGCCCTCCATTTCGTGACTACGTACTCTGCAGTTTGTATCCTCTATGCAATAATGTGTCAACGATAAATGTAACGGTAAATGTAGTCGAGAAATTTGGTTGACGTCATCGGCGAACTTTGCACTCGAATCTAATGCGCCATCGAATCTAATGCGCACCCCAATTTTGAATACTACATTTGGCCAAAAACGATGCGCATTAGATTCGCGTAAATACGGTACTTGATAGGACGACAACCTTCATTCCTAATTCAAGCCCTTATGATTATGGTGGTAGAAACCCGAAAACACATGCTCATGGATCGCTTGCTATACTCATTAGATCTTTAGATATATATGCAAGAGAGAAATGCAAAGGGCAACTAAAGGCTATCTCCTTGGGTATGATGGAAGATGAAGGTACGCATTTACATCAAAGAAACCAGTACAGTAATCTGTTCCCTAGATGTCATATTTGGAAGAGAAACCTTCCATGACTGGAAACAATAACATTGCCAGACCCACAACAAGTTTCTGGAAGAAATTCATCTCAAGATGATGAAGTTGAAAATAAAGTATAGATGAAGCCTCAACAGGAAAAGAGGAGGTGAAGGATATACCAGAAAAGGAGACTCGACCCGAAGACAAATTTCATCAGCGCCTAAGTGGACAAAGGATTATATCATGGAAAATTCAGAGATTTATGAAGAAATCCTCCAGAAATAAATGGAATTACAAGTGGAATGCAGTGCAGCTGACAATCCAAAACAGAAATATGAAGGCTCAACACCCAAGAAAGCTTTCCAGAATGATCCTGAAACTTTAGAAGAGGCATTAACTATTCCAATGCAGAAAATGGAAGTTAGCCATGGAAAAAGTTGGAAAATTTAAACGAAATGAAACTTGGGACATAGTGCCTAGGCCAGAGGGAAGGAGTTGTGAAATGTAAGTGGGTCTTCAAGAGAAACTTAACAAGATGGACAAGTGGAAAGATATAAAGCTCGTTTAGTTGCTCGTGCTACACCCAAGTCGAAGGAATTGACTACAAGGAGACATTTTCTCCTGTAATAAAACAAAATCAATTAGAACTTTATTAGCATTCTCAGTGTTGAGCAAGACTGGCAGTTCATCAACTGATATTACTGCGCCTATTTAATGGAAGACTGAGTGAGACAATTTTCATGGAACAGCCACCCGAGAGTCTGCATGAGAAAACACACAGAGAATTTGCTTGCTAAGAGAAAGTCTTTTATGACTTCATCATTCTGGGAGAGAATGGAATATGTGCCTCGATAAATTTCTGAAATCACGAGCCTAACAAGATCCAGAGTAGATCCTTGTGTTACTTCAATAAAGAAAGGAGTTAATTGTAGGTATGTATGTGGATGATCTTCTTGTAATGTCCAGCAAAGAATTCATCATTCAGGAATTTAAGGATAATATTGCAGCTACATTTAAAATCAAGGACTTGGGAGAAATACAATCACTTTCTTTCAATTAGGATAAGCAGGGACGATAGCTGTGTGACTCTTGACCAAAGTGTCTATACTAGTGAACTCTTGGAAACAACCAATATGGAAGATGCTAAAGGAGCATCAACACTATTAGATCCAGGTATGAAATATACAACAGCCACTAAGGATAACATGTTGAATGCTGAAGGAGCATTAAAATATAGGCAGGCTGGTGGAGGGCTCTTGTACCTAGCAGGAGGAACAAGGCCAATTTAGCTTTTGCTACTACTTACATGAGCCAATTCAATAATTGCCCAAGCAAGGAACATTGGGCTGGTGTACAACATATCCTTCGTTACCTAAAACAGACCAAGGAATTAAAGCTGACTTTCCAAAAGACAGGAAAGAATTTGGAAGTGTTTTGTGATTCTGATTGGGCTGGTGATAAGATTGACAGACGATCATTTAGTGGCTATGTGGGCTACTACAGGAGGAGCTGTCTCATGGAGCTAAGAAACAACGACGACTGCATTGTCAACAGTTGAAGCTGAGTACCTCTCAATGTGCCACGCAGCCAAGGAAGTACTGTGGTTCCAAAATTTTTTAAAGAAATTGTGGGAGAACATTTTTTAAACTTTCCACAAAGCATATTTGTTGATAATCAGGTGCCATTTCTTTAGCCCAAAACCATGTCACTTCAGAGCGTAACAAACATACTGAACTCAGGCATTTTTTTCTTGAGAGAAAAGGTTGAAGAGAAGTTGTTAAACTTTACGTATGTGCCTTCCTTCCAGATCAAATGCAGCAGACATGTTCAAAAGAGTGTGCAAGAGAAAGCCTTGTTCAATCAAAGGTTCTGTGTAGGACTGAAGGAAATTTAATCAAGGGGAAGTGTTTGCAAATAACTTTTATTTGTGATTATATTTCCCATATTGTAAATTTACAACATGTGTGGCAACACGCTTTTTATATTTTTTCTCTTGGCAACGTTTTTTTTTTTTTGTTGTTGTTGTCACTGTTTTAACTTTACCATGTAGAATTTACTGTACTTGTGCCATTTTGTGTTTCAATATATGTTAATTTAGATGAATCTCTGCTTATTTATTTGTCTCCATTCCTAACGTTAGACTTCATCAGCCAAAACAAAATTAATGGCCTTTTATGCTTTAAAAAAATCATTAAAATTTTGTAAAATAAAGTGGTGTTTTCCCTATTTGTGTTATATTTTAAATGTATTTAAAGTAAAATGCAGAAGAAGAATTTCAAGAGTGTGGGTAAGGAATATTTGAATTAGTTCACATTCAACATTACTCATGGCATTTTCTTTTCAAGTATTTAAAACAAATCATATTTTAATAGAAACCATATATTTTCACAATTTATATGTTAATTATTCTACTTCACAAAGTTATCCATAGAAGACAAAAAACTTTTATTAATGATAATAATAATTTGGGTGATTCATTATTGCGGAACTTTTTCTACTTCATGTGTGATCTGACTTACGACTGTAAGCTTGAAACCTTACATTTTCCGTAACTAGAACACAATCTCAGTATTCGGATACCTAGACCAGGGGTTCCCAGTGTTGTCAGTATTCACTCCGTGAAGGGCAATGAAATTTTAAAGGGGGTCAATGATGATCTTTCTTCACCAGCAACTGATTGGCATAATCAAGATCCCATTAATTACAAAAAAGTAAGATATTTTAAAATTAATAATATTTTTTTAAATATATAGTTTCTTTATGTGCAATAATATAAAAAGTGAAATGCAGGTCCATCATTGAAAAAGATTTTATTTTCTCAAAAGATATATTGTTATTGCAAATCACTTACAAAATTAAAATGAAGATTTTAATGTCCACTTTCAAGACACTGAAAATTTGAACATGCCAACATAGCTTATAGAACTGATTGATTGCACTGAAAGGAGTATGCTCAAGTATACATCTCATTCAAAACTGATGGGTATGCTAAATTACAGAAATTAAAAGTGATCTGAGAAAAGTATCATGAAACACAAGTTGTTACTGAACCAACATTTTTCACATTTCTCTCTTTTTACCTAATGAAAGTGGGCTTTAGTCAAGTCAATAATTTATTACAGAAAACAAAGAGGTTCAATATTTTTTTAGCAAAGTGTAAATGTAATTAAATTAGGCAATTTTGGGTCAAATTTTTTTTAAAGAACCATTTCATCAAGTGCAGCTACACCGTAATTAAAATTGAACTTTGTGCAATTTGAATTTGCAATATTTCTTCTGAAAACTAATTACTATTTATAATAGTACTAAAAATAACAAAACGTAAATCTAATAAACTTTTTTCCCCAAAACTTTTGTTTATATCTCTAATCTAATTGTCGTAATTATTTGTTATTTGCATGTTATAGGGATTGAAGAAGAAAACTATTCTTTTAAAAGGAGTTGATGCAAGAAAAAAGTTGTGAATCCCTGATCTAGACTAATGCTAATAATATTATACACATATATAAATTGGATCTATTATTTCTGATAAACTAATATTGAATATCATGTCGAATATTCAATAATATGCGGGCTTCCAAACTGCACTCTCATGTGTTGCCAACAGTCACATTAAGTGCCTCTCTTTCAAGGAGGGCACGAAAATCTTTTCCACGTGCACCAAGTGCCGAGAATATCAGGCTTCTGCCGAACATATTTGGGACCTCTCTAGGGAAGAGGATATTTATACCAATCCCCTCCTTCTGCTTGACTTTCTTAGAGTCAACGGTCTTTTGGACCTTGTCTGACTTCGTCAGAATCCAGAGGAAATGCAGTAACAACAGCATTCAATAATATTTTGTATTGCATTTACCATTAGCAATACTTCTCTTACATGACATTTATACAGCATTAATTATAATGGTTTCGTTATATTATGCAAGATGAGGAAATAAATGTAGAATTATTCAGAACTTTTTATAAGGATTAATCAGATAATGGGCAGACAAAATATTTAGTTTAGCAGTTCAAAATATGAATTTTGACTACAGTCAAAAGTCGTTAATTCGGACACCCATAATACGGAATGATCTATAATCCGGACCTCAAAGCTAAAAACTTTCTGCACATGCACCGCGTTGGCACATGCGCACAGGCGTTTTACGTGTGCGCATAAGACCTTGACTACTGCACATATGCGTGTGCGCAAGTGCAGAATACATTTTCGCCTGCGCGTTTAATGTATAACGGAATATCTAATTATCTATTTCAGTTAATGTTAAAATGATTGCGTTGTTCCTTAATCTTCGAATTGGATCCCGCTATTATTTTTGCAGACTGTAAGAGCAATTTTATAAAAGTAAACTTGAACTTTCTATTATGTCAAATAGAATTTCCGATGCTGGAACTTCCAAAGGATCTACAAAATGAAAGTATGTTTCGATGTCCAACAAACAAAAAGTGGAATTGCTGCAAAAAATGGATAAAGACATGAAGTATGTGACAGAGAGGTTAGTGAAAACGAAAAAATTTCATGACAAGTTAGTCGGTATTCTCGGCACAGCAATTAACGGGACTTGAACAGCGGAACTTTGTAACTGACAAGAAATTTGGTCTGTTTATAGAATTAAAGAGAAGTATTATCACATAAAAAAGCAACCGTAAACAACTTACATTGAAAGAAATGTTTGATAAACGTAAACAAATAAATATTAAGCTTTTTTTTTTTTTTTTTTTTTTTTTTGTAAATTTTTTGATATACCCTTTAAGATCATAATTGTTCTTTATTTCATAAATTACGATTTCATATTTTAAATTTTAGAATTTCTGCATGCCATCTTACGAGATTTAAACTGATGATCTATAATCCGGAATCACCGAAGTCCCGACGAGTCCGGATTAACGACTTTTGACTGTAATTTCAAAGTTACACTTACCAGACATTCCACCATCCATACTCCTCGATGCAAAGCGTTTATTGCTCATAGAGCGTTCAAAGTGAGGTGGAGGGCGATCTATCAGGGCACTAGCCATACGAGTTTGGTATTGTGTTCGACCAGAATATCGAAACTTGGACCCAAAACGAGGAACGAAAAGTTTAGGTTTGGGAGGAGGTTCAGGCATCATCAACCTTGTACACAAAAACACATCAAAGTGATTTTTCTAGTAATATAAAATGAATGGTAGCAAAAGAACATATTAACAATACATCAGTAAATTAATTTCTACTGTTTAACCATACCTGAAAAATGTATGATGTTCTACACAAACTTTCCAAAGTCGTTTAGCAGCTCTGTGATTCGGCAGCTTAAAACCAATAGTACTCTCAAACTGTTCAAACTTGAAAAAATATAAAAGAATATATAAAACTTTTATATTGGCTATAAAGTTTAATACTGAAAACTTTATCAATTATGTACATGACACAATTTAGTTCCATATATATTAAGAGATACAATAAGATTTAACTTACGAGAAGAATGAGTAGTTTTTAATCTTAGGACTTTTAATAAACTTATAATCAGAATTTTCTATAAATTAAAAATTCTCTAAAATTAAATCTCTTATTTGAAAGTGCAGTTTTGGATATTGACTCACAAAGTTGAGTAACACACAATTTGCGATACTCATTTTGGGCATATCATGTAGTCAAGGTAAGAAATGTTAATAAGAATTAAATAGGAAATCACTGTGGTAATAATTAACAATGTTCATGCACAGAATTTCTTGGCAATATAATTTAAAAAAAATTTAAATTCCTTAACAATATGTATAAAAGTAAAAAAAAATTTAAATTCTAAAAAAAGGAAAAAAAGCCAAAATAATTTAAAATAATTTTAAAAATGTGCAAACATGTAAATATTTTAATTCTCAAACTAATCTACAATATCATTTAAATTCAGAAGCATAAGCAAATCAAGTGCAAAATCTATCCATGGAAATAAATCTACTAATTTAATAAATTAAAAATTAATTAAACAATTTTTTTTAAAAATGCATATGTGAATGACCGTAGAGTAGGCAGGCGACAGACTTATCAAGGGGAAGTTGCCTCCAAACCTAACTCTCCAATCATTCATTCGTGTTTTTCGTCATTCAGGCAGGCAAGGGTAAAGTCAAAACCAAAAGTAATTCCAATAAAGTGGTTCCTTTAGAAATTAACATTAAGTATTAACATTAAGATTAAAGTTCAAAGGAAAGTCTTTTGAGTAACAAGCAAGTAAAGTCAAGATTAAACTTTTTCTTAAAAAATTTAATTTTTTAAAAATTTAATTTTTATAAATAATTAAAAAAATCTAGAAACCAATGTTTTAGAAATCCTTGTCTAAGAAACTTCCCCTACATGAATATGGCATATCAATAAAAGAAACTATAAAAGACTATATACATAATCCATATAAAACCAATAAGAAACAAAAATAATAACTATTCACAATTTTTAAAAAACAAATATATATTTAAAAATATAATTTCATATTTAGAAAACTTAGATACTACCAAAAAATTTAAAAAAAAATACTTAAAGCAAGTAAATAATAAGTTTTAAATCCTAACTTACCTACTATATGAGTGTTGGGGTCTGCAAAAGTGTTGTGAAAGAGAAGTAAGTGTGTTCTTCAAATTATATTGTGGCTATGAATTATTATCATTGTCAAAACTTTATGAAAATGAACTTCAATTCAATTCTAAGCTAATTTAGAATTTAATGCCTCATTATCTATACTTATGGTACAGGACCAACAATTTTTATTTCAAAGAATTATTTTTCTTTCTCTTTTAGTGATGTAAATTATTAAAACAAAATTTCGTTATCATACTTGGCTGCATCTTGTTGATTACGTAACAAAATGGAATGGACTTATGTTATGTGTGTATTGGGCGTAATAGAAAATTATGCATGTTCAACTCAAAAATAAATTTAGCTTAATCTTCTGCCATTAATGATAGTTTAAAATTCCTTCAATGAAAGCATTCAAAATTAATTTAGCAATATAAATTTTTCTGTTTCATTAAAAAAAATCACCAATAGATAGCTTCTCCTAAAAATATGACATAATTAGGTTTACCCAGAAACATTATATGTATGACTTAAAACATACTACAGTATATGGCAGTCAGGCATTAATAACAAAATTATTGAAAATGCAGTCTTGTGATCTCCAGACTCATTCAGTTCGAATGTTTCCTATCATTATCACTCTTCCACTCCATGTCTTATCAATAATTTGGATTCTTTCATAAATGTTGAAGTCTAATAATAAATTAATATTATTTTTGCAATTTTTTTTTTTTTTTTTTTTTTTTTACACAAAACCTTAAACCACATAACAACATTTTAAGTATATGTAGAAGAAAAACCCAGGAAAAGTCTCTAGGAAATGAAGTGACCACAGTTCTATGGAGAATATTCATTAAGTAAAGAAGACCTTCTACTGTACTCATCCAAGCATTGCCCATGATTTTCAATTTTTTTCAGGAGCTTAAAGATGTAATGCTTATTGCTGTTCTCACCCATCCACGAACTTCTTCAGAAATTTGAACTATTTTCCTTTACAAACTGTGTTGAATTGCCATTCCTATTCATAGGATACACTTATTCTATAATAGTATATTTGGTTCTACTGAACAATGGTCAATGATTTAATGAAACATATGCAAGTTCCCATCCTGAATGAAACATAATTTAATGAAACATATGCCTGTCATGAGTAATATTATTACTGTGCATTTCATTTACTTCATTTCAAAGCTAAAAATGAGCTGGAAACAGAAACGTTTTGTCTCTATGTAGAGTGAGAAGAAAAGTGCACAAATGGCTCTTGAAGTCTGTCCTTTTAGTCTTATTAGGTTTCCTCAAAAGACAAAAAATGAAATTCAAATTAATTCATTGTGCCACACTAGAGCTGAAAATTATAATTTAATTTGCTTCTATGTATCTGTAAGAGAAAGGGTTTTCATTACTAACTGAAATTAGTTAATTTTTATTATGTGTTTCACCACATCGGGAGGGTCAGGAAAATAAACAATAATCAGCTCAAGGAGAGGATAGAGGGATATGCAAATTCATTTGCTACAACTTGGGGGCTTCAATTTCAGAATGCAGACTTTAAAAATGAAACTCTGTCTTAAGCCCCCAGTGTTGAACTGGCAATTCAGGTATTTGTTTCACCTCAGGAGCTTAAAAACGGGAGCCAATTATGACTCCGTGTTATTGGCTGTCATGCTACCCACTCCGATGGCCAAAGCCACCACCTTCCAGGACGGTATAAGCTGCCTTTTCTGGTAGTAGAAACCAGGCTTGTGTTATTTTGGCCCTAGAACCATTACTATTATAATATAACACTAAGCCAGTGTATGCAATGCCCCAGGGGGGAGGCAAACTCAAATAAAAACAAAGTACCCAAATCTTTTTCATGTACCTGCCAATCTCAGACTTATCAGCATATATCCAAACACAGAACAAGGACTGGCAGTCTGAACCATAATTTTTTTAATTAATTAAAAAATAATTAATTTTTTTTCTTAGTTAATAAGATAAAGATTATCTAAACTCTAATAGCCTTGAAACATTAAAAATTTCTTCTGTTGCCTTAATTATTTAATATCAACATAAATTAAATGAATTTAAATTAATTTCATTTTAAAAGTACGATTATGCTGGTAGTAATATAAGCTAAAATTTGCTTTCAAATGGTGGTTCACAGAACATTTTAATTTACAAAACTGGAAAATGTTTCAGAAACACTACCCTAGAGAAAATTTTGAAATTCTCTGGTGCCATGCTTATCTCTAGCATTAGAACCAAATCAATAACATATGAAACCAGTGGCAAATAGGGCCGATGCAATTTCAGGCCGATCAAGAAACTCGAACAATCGAATCGACACAGACGATTGGGCGAGACAGCCCTGCGAGTGAGGGTACATGCATAAAATTAATACTTTCACTCAAAAGTATATCTTCCAATGGTATACAAAATGCACAGATATGACAAATGGCAAAATCTATTATGGATAAAATATCAACTTTTAGAATCATTTTGTCTCATGTATATTTGAAAATATGTCAATATACTGAGCCAGTAACGAAACATTTGCGGACTAAAGGATTAGATTACACCCTAGCATATAATATGGTCGGGCAAGCTACAAGCTCCTTAAAAGCCATTTTAATATTTAACGCATCAAAATTGTTTGCAATGGATTGCAGTACTAAACTAGAAAGGCTGTATTGTGATATAATTATAGAAGAAGAGGTACCTGCTAGAAGATGCCGAAAAGTGAAACAAATGGACGATGAAGAATCGGCTGACTATAATTTCAATTGTCCTATCAAACAATTTGAAGTTACTGTCTTTAATTTTTTAATGGATAACACCATTTCATCGATGGAAAGTAGGTTTAAAGGGGCATAGGAAGTTGTATGAAGACATATCACTTCTCGATCCCCAAAACTTTTCAAAGCCATTGTCGGCGAACACTTTTGACTATTTTTCTATACAGTCAAAAGTCGTTAATTCGGACACCCATAATTCGGAATGATCTATAATCCGGACCTCAAAGCTAAAAACTTTCTGCGCATGCGCCGCGTTGACACATGCGAATAGGCGTTTACGCGTGCGCGTAAGACCTCTTACGACTGCGCATTTGCGTGTGCGCAAGCGCAGAATACGTTTTCACGTGCGCGTTTTATGTATAACGGATGGTATAAGCTAAAATTATCTAATTATCTATTTCAGTTAATGTTGATGATTGCGTTGTTCCTTAATTTTCGAATTGGATCCGGCTTATTATTTTTTGCAGACTGTAAGAGCAATACTATAAAAGTAAACTTGAACTTTCGATTATGTCAAATATAATTTCCAATTCTGGAGCTCCCAAAGGATCGTACAAAACGAAAGTATGTTTCGATGTCCATCAAACAAAAAGCGGAATTGCTGCAAAAAATGGATAAAGACATGAAGAATGTGACAGAGAGGTTAGTGAAAACGAAAAAATTTCGATTGACAAGTTAGTCGGTATTCTCGGCACAGCAATTAACGGGACTTGAACAGCGGAACTTTGTAAGTGAACAAAAAATTATGTCTGTTTATAGAATTAAAGAGAAAGTATTATCACATAAAACGAAGCAACTTAAACAACTTACATTAAAAGAAATGTTTAATAAAGTAAACAAATAAATATTAAGCTTTTTTTTTGTAAATTTTGATACCCTTGAGATCATAATTGTTCTTTATTTCATAAATTACGGTTTCATATTTTTAATTTTAGAATTTCTGCATGCCATCTTACGCGATTTAAACTGATGATCTATAATCCGGAAAATCGATAATCCGGAATCGCCGAAGTCCCGACGAGTCCGGATTAACGACTTTTGACTGTATTATTAGGGCACTATGCAGGTATCTTGGTAAAAATTGGAATTGGTAAAAATATTAAGGATGAATATCAAGGCCTAATTAAATGTGAAATACTAAAAAATTCAATTGAAAATCATTATTCTGAATCTAATACCGAATCAGAAAGATCGAAAGCTCTATATATAAATGAGCATTCATCCAAAGCTAAATGCGGTCTCTTGTGTGCATATAAATTACTCTTAAAATATAATTTATATAGTATTGTGTATGCTAATGTCTTTTTTGTGTTTATGTTTGTACTCACCCTATCTATAACGATGAATGCAAAAGAACATTTTCGAAATAAAAAAATTGTAAAAAATATATTAAGGAGAACTATGAAGCAAGCTAATTTGGTGTCATTACTAATGATGAACATAGAGAAGGATATTTTGGCTAAAAATTGAAGATATAATGGAGGAAATATTTGCCCAGGCACCTGGAATTAAAAATTATTTAAATGGCTAATTATGAATCAGCCGCCGTTTTATTTATATAATTATTTAGTCACTGTTATTTATTACTTGTAGTTTATTTGAATATATATATGAATAAAGTGTTACTTTTATGCAAAGGTATATTTTTATTTTATAAAATTATTTTTTATGATGATGATAATTTATATGTATAATGATATGTCATATAGGGTCTTAGGGCCAACATATTTTTTCTTACCAGGGCTGATTTCTTTGGCTAATCTGCCACTGTATGAAACATGAGAGAAAGGTACAGAATGCATGAAATTACTTTGTTTTATGAAAAAAATTATAAGTATTCATTCATTTTATTTACTTATGTTGAGCTGCTATTGAAAGAATCATCTCCTGTAACAACATTTCACATGGTAAAAACAATTGCACGGTTAAAAATTATTTTTATACTTACCTCTCCAGGTCGTATCTTGATATAAAAATTATTACGTTTGTATGAAATTTTTAAAATTTTCGGCCAAGCGAAACGGTTGATCCGTAAACGATCACGATATACTAACAGACCAGAGGCACAAACACCAAGCATGATTTCAACTCCTTCAGAATCTTTGGCTTGATGAAGATCGACACCATACATGGCTAATTTTTTAGCATTTTCTAAATAATGTAGCTCAGCCTCAGCTGGAGTTTGACCTCTGCAATATAAAATTGAAGTGAAAACCCTCTACAATACAAAATATATACAAAATATTCTGAAAGAATATGCTTACAACATGAATGCTTCAAATCTAAGGAACCACTAAGGATTCATTCATGACAGAACATTTCAATGTATTTCCATCTACCTAGCTGCCTACCAATATGTTCCTGAATTGTTCAAAACGTTTTTGTGACATGATTACTATAGTCTATAATAACTGGATTCATATTTTACATTGAGCCATAGGTCTATGCTGAATTCTTCTAGATATATTTAATCAAGCAATGTTCTTTAAAAAGATATAGAAGGGAAAAAACCTTGTAATATATACATACAATGATGGGGAAAAAAAAAAAAAAAAAAAAAAAAAAAAAAAAAAAAAAAAAAGTGATGTAAAAATATTTTTAGTCATTATGTATTATTTGTATATTAAACATGAAAATTTTATGACACTCAAGTACATTTCTGGACTAAACTTAAGCTAGAACTGTGCCACAGAACCTTTAAAAGAATTTTTTTTTTTGTTATGTGTTGTTACATATAGCTTTATTGGAAAGACTATTTACTTAGCCAAATATAAATATACGTAAACTTGTATAAACTGCACTGTGAATAAATAATAAATTTAATTGTGAAATATTCAGCACCACCATCTTATATATACACTGGTGTGCAAAAATTAAGGACGAAGTCGAAAAATTAGCATATCAGCTGAACGAAGAGGCAGAGTGGACAGAAAGACCAATCAGGAGATTAAGTAAGGTGATGTACAGTAGCACATGCGCAGATATGCAGGTAGACGTAATGGGGGAGTGTCTGAGTAGTATAAAGCATGTTGTCTTTGTAAGATCAGTATTTCTAGCAAAGAGACTGCACGCCGTATAGCAGTTAAAATCACACCGAGTTGCTGCTTCAGCGAGAAGTGACGAATAATCAATCTGTTAGACGACATCTGGATGCTTTTACCCGAGGTTGAATCATTGGGAAGTTGGAGGAACGCCACAGTGTGACAAGTGTGGCTGCAGATTTCGGAATTGCTCACAGCATCATTTCACAACTTTTGGAGACAATTTCAAACTACAGGAACAGCTATTCGGGGGTTTAGTAGTGGTCGTCCATGAGGAACCACACCCGCAGATGACCGGTATATTGCCTTACAGGCCAGAAGAAACAGGCGGCAGACAGCGGGAGAAATTGCTAGACACACGACACAGGCAACTGGACGACCGATATCGCGTTTTACAGTGGCCAGAAGACTGCACGGTGATGGACTGTTTGCCGACGCCCTGTACGGTGTGTACCTCTAACACCTGCCCATCGGAGAAGGCGTTCTCTGTGGTGCCGGGAACACCGGAATTGGAGAGACAATGAATGGGGACAAGTACTCTTTACAGATGAGAGCAGATTCAGTCTGAGTAGCGATTCTCATCTGGAGAGAGCGGGGAAGCCGCAATCATCCCTCGAACATCATTGAAAGGGACAGGTATGGAGGTGGCGGTGTTCTCGTTTGGGGAGGCATCATGCTTGGTAGTCATACAGAACTTCACATCTTCGACGCAGGTTCAGTCAATGGGACCCGTTATTTTAACGAGATTCTTCTGCCATATGTGCGTCTTTTTAGAGGTGCTATGGGTCCGCAGTTCCTTTTCATGGACGACAATGCACCATGTCATCGCACAGTAGCTGCCGAACAGCTCTTAGAGAGTGAGGATATTGAACATATGGATTGGCCGCACGATCTCCAGATCTCAATCCCATTGAGCATGTATGGGATTTTCTAGGCAGACGCTTGGCAGCTCGTACCTTACCACCAGTAACGATTCCAGAGCTTCGATTGGCGCTACAAGACGAATGGGCAGATGCCTCAACAACTCATTGAAACCCTCATTCTCAGCATGGGCAGATGCTGTGGAACCTGCCTAGCAGTCAGGGGAGATCATATCCCCTATTAAAGACCGGATGTTTCTTGCTGGACACCCATCACAGGGATGTTTCGGCCTTCAGTCGCATTGTGTTCCATGCTACTTTTTCAATAAAGCTTCTTTATATCCCCCTGATTTCTCTTTTAGTAAGTGTTGCTTACATTACTCATGTCCTTACGTATTGGGGATCTTACGGTATTAAATGTGTAGATTTGGAAAGCTTTTGTACAAATTTATATTGAAAAAACCGTCTCGTCCTTAATTTTTGCACACCAGTGTATATTTTCACAAATTTTTTACATGCATTACAAATGTGAAGCATATTAAAAACATTTTAAAGGCTATTAACACAATAAACCAGATATCATTAATTTCATTAAATGCCAAAGAATAAAAATGGGCAAGCCAAGCAAAAAAAAAAGTTTTCGACACCAGATCAACAGGCACACAGAAAATGGGCAGACCAAATCTAAATGATTAGACTGCCTAGAAAATGACCTACTACTCTTAAAACCCCCAAACTGGGAGAAGATTGGTCTAGAAAAAGGTTCCTCAGAAGGCCAGTGCCCACCCTGGGCTGTCAGGCCATTAAGGAACGAAGGCAAACAATAAACAAATATATTTTCTTTAAAATTCAATTCAAAATTAAACTTAATTTTCTTAGTGTCAGTTAGAAAGTCAGTTTATTAACATTTTCATTTACTGCTTTATTTTCCCTTTTTTATAGCAAATATCATATTAAATTCAGCAAAAATTACTTATCTTCATTTATTAAAATTACTTATCTTTATTTTGGATCTTTATTATCTTATTTATTTACAACAGCATACAGTACAATAAAATTATTCAGTTTATTAGCCATCACTTTATATCAGTTTATTTGTTAATTAATGCAGCTGATTGGTATATGACCAAGCTGACTTATAAGTTTTAGAATTATGCCAGTCTTAGTTTTTATTATGGTGAATCGTAAAATATGCTGGCTTGCAAACAGAACTCAGGTTTTAAAAATATCTCAAACAAAATTATCTTACTTTACCCTAACAGATCAATAGGCTGGGATGGGATTTGTTGCGCAAAACCTATAATTTTTTAAAGCACCTTTGAATTTTTTAAGCACTTTCTGTAACAAAACAGTGGGTGTTTAAAGTCACACATCTTATAAATGATTCACAGTTCTATTTCATGCAGTTATAATTAAAAGACAAATTATGTTATTGTACCATATTTTATTTTCTGCAAAAATGCTGTAAAACAGAATAAAACTATTATGTAAGGTTTTGAAATAGTATGCTATTACACAAATTCAGGATGAGTTCGGCTTCTTTCAAAATGGTTGAATATTACTAAAGAGCAACTAGCAGTCACAAAATCCTTTTCTAACAGGTATATGAAAAGATGAAAGTCATTCACAGTGGTAAAAAACTATGCTGAATAATGGAATCTGGCTGTAGTTTGCGGTTTGACTTGTAAGTCATTGCGATTAAAGATTTGAGCCTGTACCTGGTTGCAGCAGAATTTGGTCCAAACACCTGGTGCACAAACCTTAATTTCATTAGAAGAATAATCAGTATTCTGCCAATAGGTGATATACCTTACATGACTAGTGTAGTTACTTTACGGATCGATAGGTGGCACCACTAAAATTTTGTTTTTACATCTCCCCCCCCCCCCGCTATTTTATTCAAATCTGCATGATCAGATTTATTATTATTTAATATTAATAATTTTTTATGTTTTGCAAAATATGTTTTTCTTTTGCTGTGTTTTATGCTGCATATTAGGAAACTTTAAATGTGCATTTTTTTAAAAATTAGATTAGCTGGTTTAAATATTTTAGTGACTTACTCAATATTAATATAACTAAAAGTGTGCCCCTAAATGTTATAGATATAGATTATAACAAGAATGTCATGCATATAGTGAATGAAATAGGTAAGACAAAATATATCCAATTTTGTGCAGCTATGTTAAATTGTTTCAAAACCTATTTACAAGCAATTTGTTGTAAGCAGAGTATTAAAAAAAGAACTATAAATTAAACACTGTTGTTGCTTAAGATAACGGTCATTTCATTTGCCTCTTATTTCAACTCTTTGTGACATAAACGTGAAATTTATTTGAGAGTAAATTGATAACGAAGATTCAAAGACAGCATTTTAAGACACTTCACAATTTCAACGGAAAAATTGCATGCGAAAGAAATAATAAGCATAACATTGCTTTTACAAACAAAATAGTTTGAAAAAGAGGTGGCGCCATCTAGTATGACACTGATTAACTAGCTAACGAAATTTGGTAGATCGCCAAACTATCCTTCAGATTTCATAAAAAAACACTAATTCAAAATGAATCCCTGATAAATTTATATGAATGAGACAGGAAAACTTCAAGATCATATTGGAAGTCTTCTGAACAAACAAAGCCAAGAAAAATACACGAGATTCAAAGTAAGGTTAATGTCACGTGGATAATTCTTTTTCAGTTACTATATTATATTTATTATATTAATGTCCATTGCAATTGTACTCTAGGAGGTCAAAATTTCAATAAATGATAATATAGCAATTCTTTAATGCTTGTGAGATGGACATTGCAGGAGGCAACTGTGGGAGATTGGGGACTATTAACTCTACTATGACAACATTCCTGCTCATTTATCCGATCTCCTCCAGGAATTTTCAGCCAGCTCATATACTTCCATGAAATTTTTGTGGTTTCTTCATCGTTCTGAGACTTGGCAGCACAAAAGAGATGAACAACAAGTGCACAAAAAACTTACTGGAACAAAAACACTGAAAAATTCTTAAAGGCAGCATTGGGATCATGGCTGGGTTAAGTGCATTTATTTCAAAGGCATTCTTCAAAAATAAATGAAGTGGACATAAATAGTAATCTATGTTTTAATTTTGTATAGAATTTGGATATTTTTTAATGAGAACCTGCAATTTGTGTGTTTCTTTAATGTTTTGCAACATACCATCACGTTTAAAAGTTAACAACTGCAATATATTTTACTTTCTCTTAAAAATTTCAAAGCTAAGGAGAACAGTCTGTGCAAAAGTTATGTAATAATTCCCATAAATACACTTGAAGAAAAAACAGCAAATAATTATTTCAAAATTTTATATGAAAAACTTACTTGTGCTGACGGTGAAGCTCTGCAACTTTCTCTTCTAATTCAGGCGTTTGATTTGGAGCAAAACGAAAATCTGACAAATAATTGCTTGCATGTTCCTCTGGATCATAATCTCCTAATTCAGACTGAACAAGGTAAGAACCAAGGAGAGCATATGTTACAAAAGAGCAAGGAAGCCTGAAAATGAAAACATAGTATAAACAAAAGGCTTATTCCAATAATTTTTTTTTTTACATGACTGGTTAAATAAACTGCTAGAAAATTTTAAAATATGCAAAAACACAATTAGTTAAAACAAATCATCTATGGGAAATCTAATTAAAGGCAAATACTAAATAAAGGCTAATATTAAATGCTAGTTACGTTTAGTTTAAGTTTGTCTTCTACATTTTATGAAAATGAAATAAAATACAAGAAAAAAGGAAAATGTTTTAACATATTTAATTTTCAGGATTATGCCTTAAATTAGCAAATAAAATACTACACTGAATTAACTGAATTGGAATCCATGATATTACCAGTGTTTTATGATGTAATTCAGATTTTTTTTTACAATCTTCTGAAGCATCTTTCCAACCTCTTAAGTTGAAATATTTTAGTTATGTTTAAAATATATTAACACATTTAATTTTAAGGATTTTATCTGAAATCATTTAGTTATAATTAATAGAGAAGACAAATGGATGACTAATATAACTCATGAATATGAAAGAAAGTTTAAACATGGGAATAAGTTCTAGTTTGCAAAGGTGATGGCAATTAAGATTATTTTTAAATACATTGCTGGCTGCCAAGGTACTGTTTATCGACTGGAAAATTATATATTAACTAAAATATTGCAATATTTTCATTTAAAGAAATCTGCTTGAACTGATTTTGGAGAACTAAAATGTTTTAACTTACATTACTTCTGTAATTAACATTACATTACTGCTTCTTACATTTTTTCTATTAAAGTAATCCACAATTATTGATGGGCCCCTCAAGAAGGAATGATAAATCTAGGCCAAGGGCCAACTTTTGCCACCTGATGCAATTTCTGCCTCTTAAATTCAGGTATCTCCAAAATTCTGATGCTTCTGATTTCTGTCCCTCTCCCAATGTGGCTGCACTGGCTGTAACTTAAATCGGTCTAATTGAAATTGGCTACACAATTCTTTGGCTGATGCTTAATTTTAAAGAATAATAAAATCTGGTAATAAAAATATTTTGTAGTTTGTAATGCAAGGGTTGAAAATTGAATTAAATAATCATTTTATAATTTAATTTTATTTGAATTTCAGCAGCACTGAAATTTTGCTTCACAAATATAATATTTAACTTTTCAAGTAATTTCTTTCTTATTTTATTCTAATTAGTATATTTAAATATGCTGCTCTGCTTCATTTCCTTTCCATAAATATTGATTCTAAATAGATGTTTCCATTTATAAAATTTCTTAAAATAAGACAGAGAATTTTTCAAAAACTGTCTCAACACTCTTGATGATGTGGACAAAAATGTAATTTTTATATTGTCCCACAAATTAAAATTCAAATTTATAAATAATCATTATGGTTTAGTTGTAATAAAATGCAGCTTAACTAAAAACACAGACTTTTTAAATGAACACATTTAAAAACATTTTCTAATTATTCAAAAAGCAAATGATGAATAATATCAACTTAAGTTTGCATTGCTGTAAAAGCTTTCTCAGAATGTACCACCAAAATGAAAAGGGAAACACTGAATATTTCACAATAAATTATAAAAAAATCTTACAATGCATTCCAAGAGAATTTCTAAGGGAAAATTTGTCTCTAGACTATGACTGTTGTTAACAATATTCCATTAATTGGAAATTTACATAGAATTAAAAGACAACCCTTTTCTTTTTAAATTTTGTATCCTTTTTGGATATTTCGCCTAACATGTTGATTCAGTAGGTCTTTAACATCTTCTTTAGCAAACACTAAAATTCTTTCTCCCAATCATTCTATATCTAATCACAAGAAACTTTCATTTTCAGGCAGGTGAAGAAATTATTGGGAAAAACAATGTTTTCATTTAATGCATGTCTCTGAAGACATCCTAATATTTTCTTCTTATTTACATAGTGATGCCTTTGCAATTTTCATATTTCAGAACCTCAGCAACTAATTTGCATTCTATTTAATAAACAAACTTGAAAAAATCTTCACAAAAGATTTTTATGCACTGACACTTTTCTTCTCTTTTTCTGCACATCTCTCTTATTTTTTTTTATTTCAATATCTGCATTATGTGCTACACAGGAATAGTTTGTTTGGCTTACGATTTCATATGCAGAACAAACGAACATATGGTCTTTTATATCTTCTTTGCATCCATATCTTTTATCTTCCGCACATGCCCAACAGATATGGACTTCACATTTTCAATGTACACAGTGTCATTATCCATCAACTATTATTATGACTTTTGTACTTTTCAGAGAAAAAGTGACTCTGCTTTAAATTGCTTTCAGACTATGGAATGAGTAACCCTCACTGTGCGTTAGTACGATTGTGTTTAGTATATAATCTGACCAGATGAGCAAAACTGTTGCCAGTGAACTAGAGGGGTTTTAACTCTTTCACAACCAATCCGCCCCACACGGCTCTACATTAAAACAACCAGAACCGTCCGAAAACGGCCGAGATTATAATCTTGTTTTCTTCCCTCCCCCAAGGTATGCAGTAGCAGGTTCAGTTTCCCCAAATACACTGTATCAGTTTACTGCAGACAGCTGGTCCTAAGAGGTTTTTTTATCTTTTGATTGCTCGTGACATTTTGTTGTTGATTCTTTTGTAGTACAGTGTGTTTTTAAGCTTAAAACAGCAATAAAAGTGCAGTTTAAAAATTTAGTCTGAAATTACAGCTTGTACGGGGCATAATGCTCCATCAGTGATGCATATTTAGAAATAGTGGCTCAGAATAATCCATCAAATTGCAAACCTAACACAGGACATATCTGACATCTCGAGCTGTAACGTCAGCACAAGGTGTCAAAATTTCATCTGCCTTACAGTAATGACTATGCAGCTTAGAAAAATGATGAAGCACTGTTACAGTTGTACTTCTGTCAGCTTCAACAGTTTTCCAGCATCTACAGCTCAGTTCCATGAACAGTGAGCAAGAATTCCTTCACACAGAATTTTCCTGATACAAAACCATCGACGGCTGCAGTAACAAGATCTCATCAACACAGTTGTTGACATGTCTATCAGTAACAGATCGTCTTTTCCGATAAATCTTGCTATAGTTTGGAGCACAACAATGGTTGAATGTGTGTTAAGAAACAGTAAAAAGTCTTTCATCCGGACTCGTCGGGACTTCGGCGATTCTGGATTAGGGTTTTTTTTGGATTATAGATCATCAATTTAAATCTGGTAAGATGGCATGCAGAAATTATAAAATTAAAAATATGAAACCATAATTTATGAAATAAAGAGCAATTATGATCTAAAGGATATCAAAATTTACAAAAACAAAAGCTTAATATTTATTTGTTTACTTTATTAAACATTTCTTTCAATGTAAGTTGTTTATGTTGCTTCGTTTTATGTGCTAATACTTTCTCTTTAGTTCTATAAACAGACATAATTTCTTGTTCAGTTACAAAGTTCCGCTGCTCAAGTCCTGTAATTGCTGTGGCGAGAATACTAACTTGTCAATCGAAATTTTTCAGTTTTCACTAACCTCTCTGTCACTTTCTTCATCAAAGAATCAAAGGGTATGCCTTTATCCATTTTTTGCAGCAATTCCACTTTTTATTTGATGGACATCGAAACATACTTTCGCTTTGTAGATCCTTTGGCAGCTCCAAACTCAAAAACTCTTTTTGACATAATTGAAAGTTCAAGCTTACTTTTTATAAAATTGCTCTAACAGTCTGCAAAAAATAATAAGCCGGATCCAATTAGAAGATTAAGGAACAATGCAATTTGCAACATTAACTGAAATAGATAATTAGATAATTTTAGCCTAGCTTATACTGTCTGTTATACATTAAACACACATGTGCAGAAAGTTTATAGCTTTGAGGTCTGGATTATAGATCATTCCGGATTATGGATGTCCGGATTAAAGACTTTGTACTGTACTACACAGGTTAACACCATTTTCTGCAGTGCTTATCCAGCTTCATACTTTGAGAAAGCCAAGCATAATAGTCTGGGGCACCACTGGAAATAAAAAGATATTGTGTATGCTAAAAGCTGAAGTTCACTCATCCCAATGGTTACATCAGGCTGGAAAGATAGCCCAAAATCGTATCCTTCATTCAACGCATTCGTGAAGGTGTTTTTCTTCTTGGTTTGCTCATTCAACAGACATGTCACCAACCACCTGTTTGGGTGGGATTTCACTGGCCGGCAACTCACTCGTAACACTTGCCCCAAAGACTAAACAAATAATTTTGAGCTTGTAGGTATAGAAGCAATGTGGTACATGCTATTTCTCGTATACACATTCAAAATAGGTTTGATTCAATACTGATTTTTTTTTATTTACTATTCTTGTACTGCCTTGCAAATTTAATTGTTTCTTTGCATTATTGTAGGTTGTATATGAACTAAAGTTCATTCTGTAGAATCCTTCCCAGAGCTGCAATTTCAATAAACAAGAATATAGTCAAACGCTGCTATAATGAACTTCGAGGGACTGGAAGTTTGGTTTGCTATAAAGAAAAGAAAAAAAAAAAAACTACCATTGTTATATCTACTGAAAGAAATGACTATATTTCTGTCAGATACTGATTTGGCTGCCTTCATTTTACATATTCTAAATAATGTTCACATCATCTTTAATCCAGAAGCTTTTAATTTAGAACTTGGCATGCAAATGAATTTTTAGCCCTTTGCACTCGAGGTCTTTTTCACGCAGCGCATCAGCAGCTCGAGTCATTTTGCAGCCTTTTTCACACATTTCTTGCCAGTAACTCAAAATCATTACGCACACAAATTAATGTATAAAATTTATATAGTTTAATATTTTATATATCTTTACACCTTTATAAACATAATTTCTTAAATATTAGTCTCTGTAATTTTTCTGTGTATGTTCCATGTAACAATTCCCAAGACTTGACGGGGCAAGTATTACAATAATATGTCGTTTGATGACTTTTTCCAGGTTCATTTCTCTGATTTTCTGATAGATAAGAAAAGATAAGAAAATCTTATCTCCATTTAAAGGAGTATCATTTTACATTTCATAAGATTATACTCTTTCGCCTTTTTAAGATTATACAGAAAGAGCATAAGAACCCACTTCGAGGAAACTAAACGTAAACAGTTATTGCCATGCATCGAGTTTCTGCGTTAAACCAAGTGGTGAGAGACAGTCACCTCTCGAGCTGCAGCATCAAATCACATGGTCAGTGAGAGTCACCTCTCGAATGCAAAGGGTTAATACAGAAATAAAAGTGCAAAGTGTTTCATCAAAAAATATGTGAGAGTTTCACTCTTTTGGAAAATATGAAAAAGGAAAATATTTTATCACACAGGTGTTTTATGCAGTGTTCAATGAAAACACAATCATTTCTATCCAAGACATGTATAGTTGCTATGGAAAGGCTCAATAACTTTTATAAAAAATATCTGGTGTCTTGCAAAAGACTTAACGAATACAAAACCCCTATTCAGAGGATGGAACTTAGAGAGCATTTATACTCAAATAAACAAACCGATAAGGATAAAAATTTTCATTTCCTGAACAAAGAACCAACTGCAAAGCAAGCTGATAAGATTCACTATCTCACCTGAATAGCAAAATTTTCAAAACATTAGTGAACAGAATTATGCCTGTACCTCAAAACAAAGAACTTGAATGGAGTCAGAGAACCATTCATGATTTTTGGTTCAATCGTTACGCACAGGCATAAGGTGTCGAAAGATAAGCTTATTGTATCCTCATTCTCCTAGAGTATGGTGTTAACATGTCTCGCATAGTCTTTGTTTAGAACAGAGAGAAAAGTGGGTGGATAGAATATGGATCTTAATATTGTAGACATAGATAATTTTAAGGTTAGTAATTTGATTTGATTTTCATGCTCTTGGAGGTTCATTGTAACAGTATAAAATAATATTAAGTGTAGGAAAACTTGACCAAAAACTTCTCACATTGAAGCAAAAAATAAGCCTGTTTGGGGCTCCTATAATTTAGGTGAAAATAACATGTTGAACAAATATTAATTTAGAGGTCAAACAACAAAAATCAGCTTTATATTTGAAAATTTGGCATTATTTGTATATATATAGTGAAAATTTGAAAATATAACACTGATTTTCGTTGTTTGACTTCTAAATTAATATTTGTACGGCATGTTATTTTTACCTAAACCAAAAAAAATTGTGCATTATGTTCAGGGGGTTGTTATTGCGGGGTTGTACATAATTATGTAAAAAACCTGAGAAAAAAAAAAAAAAAAAAGAGAAAATCTTGAATAGAAAATAAAACTTACTTTTCTGAAAGAACATCATTGCAAATTTGCAAGCATAACTGATACCTGGAAAAAAAATGTAAATATTTTTAAAGATATTAATGCTGTTTTTTTTTCTTATTTTAATATAAAGATCTATTACTCAAAAAAAGAGTAACTTTTCCTATAGTTTGTGTAAGAGAAATATTGAGCTCAAACGAAAATTTATTTTCACAAAAACTCTGAATTTTATAAAAGTAACCAAATGTAAAATTTTATTACCTAGTTATATCTTCTTGCAATTGAGAAGGATCTGGTGGATAGAACTTCACTTCAAATCCAAATTCCCATGGACCATCTGTAAAATAAAAATGAGAAACAATAATGTACAGTAAATTTAAATATATCCATGTAAATCAGATGTAACTGCATTTAAGGTATACCTATTTAAAAAGATAGAAGAATTATATTTTTAAAGACCGAGGAAAAACATACCTTTTGCATTCCTTGAAGCTGCATATAAAAATAGTAAATTAATATTAATATATATTACATGAAAATCTTTATAAATTATGCTAATAAGTATTATTATTGTATGAAAAACTTTATACTTGAAGACTTAAAAAATAAATGCCTTAATTCTCACACTATCAGTATATTTATTCACCAGTCATTGATATTTAAAAATAATATAGATTTTAATGGATCTGACAATTTAGATTTTAGTATATGTTTAAAAGAGTTAAAATTATAATTTTTGAGATTATAAAAATATGAAAGTTTTCTTCCTTAAAAATTTTGCAACTGTTTTTCTTAGGCAAAAAAAAAAAAAAAAAAAAAAAAAAAAAAAAAAATAATAATAATAATAATAATGCATGGCAGACTTGCTTAGAGATTTTTCAACTGTTAATTATTAGGTTTTTTTTTTTTTTTTTTTTTTTTAAATGTTGTAAAAATGAGCAATGCCCTTGCCAGGAGTGAAATGTGGAGCTGTTGAATATGCATCAAGTGTGCTACCATTACACCTTGAGGTCATGCTAGAAAGAGGGAGAAAATACCTTACATACTCCTCCTTTTAAAGGGCAACTGGGGTTTAGGGGACCCAGTTGCCTGGTGATAACAAAGTATGGCCCACTACCTTTTAGTTTAGGTGCCACTGTAGAAGCATTAGGGTTTTCGATGCTAAAGACGTGAAATATGAGCAATGCCCTATCTGGGACTCAAACTTGGACATCTCAAATATACACCGAGTGTGCAACTGTAACACCACGATGGCATGCTGGAAGGAGGGAAACATATTGGAAACCTTATGACATATTCAAAAATGTGAAAATTCCAAGCATAGAGAAGTCATTAAACCTAAACCATCTGGACCATTGCCAGGTCCAATTTAAAGAAATATATTTTTTACGCTAAGAATTTTTTTAAAATCTTAAAATCTTTATTTGGATGGTGTATAGAATGTTTTTTTCTTTTCCCCTCAGTCTGAACTTTTGCAACATACCTTTGGAGAATTCTCAACGCATCAGTGTATTTTAACTTAGTTATGGAAAAAATGTTTTGAAGGAAAATTCAAGTGAGATTGCAGAAGATGCTAAACATATTTTTTAAAAAGCTTCCAAGGAAACAAAACAGTTATGTTGTAATGGATGGAATTAATCACTGAATGCAAAAGGGGAATGGGCATAAGATTTTATTAAGATAAGTTTTTCAAAATTTTGTCTGGTTCGTTTTTGATTAATCTTGTATACAGTCAAAAGTCGTTAATTCGGACACCCATAATTCGGAATGATCTATAATCCGGACCTCAAAACTAAAAACTTTCTGCGCATGCGCCGCGTTGACACATGCGCATAGGCGTTTACGCGTGCGCGTAAGACCCTTTACGACTGCGCATATGAGTGTGCGCAAGTGCAGAATACGTTTTCGCGTGCGCGTTTTATTATAATGGACGTATAAGCTAAAATTGTCTAATTATCTATTTCAGTTAATGTTGATGATTGCGTTGTTCCTTAATTTTCGAATTGGATCTGGCTTATTATTTTTTGCAGACTGTAAGAGCAATTTTATAAAAGTAAGCTTAAACTTTCGATCATATCAAATAGAATTTCCGATATATATTTGTTAATATGTAAAGGATCTAAAGCGAAAGTATGTTTTGAAATCCGAAATCTGTTTATCAATTTCACGCTGCTCGGCGGGGGATCGCCGCGCGGCGGGCGCGGTAATGAATTGGAAGTTGATCTGTCAACACTATCTTTTTATCTTCAGCGCAGATGTTTTTATTTTATTTGGCTTATAATTCCTTACCAAATGTAGTATTTCATCTCGATATGCTCCGTCTTTGATATGATTTAAAACAAGTTCCTCGTCATTATAATTCGCTTTTCGATAGCGAAGAAAGAAGAAAGTAACAGAGGTTATTGAAAACGAAAAAATTTCGATTGACAAATTAGTCGGTGTTCTCGACACAGCAATTATAGGACTTGAACAGCGTAACTTTGTAACTGAACAAGAAATTATGTCTGTTTAATAGAATTAAAGAGAAAGTATTATCACATGAAACGAAGCAAAACTTAAACAACTTACATTGAAAGAAATGTTTAATAAAGTAAACAAATAAATATTAAGCTTTTTCTTTTTGCAAATTTTGATACCCTTTAGATCATAATTGTTCTTTATTTCATAAATTACGGTTTCATATTTTTAATTTTAGAATTTCTGCATGCCATCTTACGAGATTTAAACTGATGATCTATAATCCGGAAAAATCGATAATCCGGAATCGCCGAAGTCCCGACGAGTCCGGATTAACGACTTTTGACTGTATAAGGTATTTGTGAAATGAATATTTTTAGAATTGAACATACTTATGTTATTCATTTTGAAAACACAATTTTGAAAATTTTGGTAATTCCAATAGTCATTATTTTGTAATATTATAAATTTAACTTTTTTTTTCAAATTCCATATTATTAAATTGTATCAAAGTTACTATTAATAGCTGTAAATGATAATATGTTTCATGAAATAAAACATAATAATTATACAGAAATTCAAAAATAGGGGGAAAATACACTGATGCCATTAAAACTTCAGTGCTATGGAAGAAGCATCCAACAGACTGGAAATTTGCACACCTACAGCATGGTACAGCACACAAATAAACTATTAGCAATGCATACTGCATGCCTATCATAGGCTACTTAGATGCTATTTAGAAACAATATAATACAGAAGAACAGAAAATTAGTTTTCTCTGCAAGAATTACATTTCCTCTTTCTTTGAGTAAACAATCCAATACACCTTAACCCTTTGGTGGGCAGTGGGGCACCAGACATCCCACCCTTTTTATCAGTTTTTATCTTCCAGATAAAAGCTGCGAAATTGCATTTAAAATACATACAATTATGCCTTTTAGTTCTCTAAATGTATAACAGATGGCAGCACCAGTATTCATTCATGGAAATAATGTAAAATAAAAATTCTTTGCAGGTCTAAATTTGAAGCAGTTTTTTTTTCCTTAATTTCTAATGCAATTTAAATTGTCTGAACAACAGCTTTTGGTGTTAGAATGAATATTTTTATGTAAAAGTTTCCTTTTCTAATAAAAATTATTATTTGAATTCATATATATTAATTAAAAATGGTTGAAATTAAAAGCTGGGACCAAATACACTCCACCACGCATGTAGGAATTGCTGTTACTAGATGGCAGCACCATTCAAATATTTTAAAATTCAACTATCATGTTTGTTTTACATGTTAATAATGCAAATTTATATTTTTTAATATATTTCAATAATGTTAAAACTTGAAAAATATTTAATATTTTTGGTACTATTCTGTTTTGAGGGCCGTAAAAAAATTGCAGCGAAAAATGTATGCGCGAAATGCGGCCAAATCTAGCAAACGCGCCCATTTAAAAACAGCGTGCCAAATCTAGCGTACGCAGTTGATTTCATATTGCATAAGTTTATATAGTTCTATATTTCTTAAGATGCCATTGAAATAATAGTTTAATTTTTAAATCAGTTTTTTCATTTTAAATCTTTTGATATCCTATGGATTTAACAATTTGGGAATTGACCATGACGAAAAGTCGACAGTAGAATTTTGGGTAAAGTGCAGAATCACCCACTGCTTGACGCGTTTTTAAAAATTGCACATACTCGGTATCCATGTGCACATCAACCTATTTTCACTTTAAAAATAAATCCTAGAATTGCACAAAAATGGCACTGTGCACACCCTTGATTTTATCTATGTACACATCGACCTATTTTCACTTAAAAAGTAAAAGGAAATTGACAAAAATCCAATTATTTTTACCCTTGTAAAAAGTGGCAAACAAATAAATGAGCGATTGTGCGCTTTACCGAGAATATTTTCAAAGAAAAGGCATTATTCATTATAGAAAATTACGTTTGAACAACCAATGAGATGAAATTATGCTTTAGTGATAAGTCGGTAGCGAAGTAGTGATGCAGGCATCCATTCAGTTAGGTTTAGCAATTTTTATATAAATTATAATAATGATCTGAAATAGTTATTTACCCTTATGCTTTCATTCAGTTATGTTTAGCCTTTTTCATATAAATTATAATAATAAAAAAGTATTATATGAAATTAACCTTTCATTGAATTAAAACATTCATCTAAATTAAAACATTAATCTTAGATAGTTATTTACTATTATACTTCCTTTCTTGCCGCAATTATTTTTGGCAGCATTGGCATCAACAATAGTTTGGCGATTTTTTACGGCCCTCGAAACCGAATAGTACCATATTTTTTCCGAAAGAAATGAAAATATAACTCTGTAACATGAAATGTCATTGAATACTGAATGGATATGTGAGTGTGATTCACCACAGAAAAATATCCTAAGCAGAGGATAGAGAGGTGAAATGTAAGTAAACATGACGGTCTTCTAAATATCTTCCTTTTCAAACCTATAGCAAATAAAGTTCTGGAGCAAAAATCTTCTCTGTTTCAAATCTATTATGAAATCATTAAAAAATATCTAAAAAGTCGTACAGAGAGTGTTTTTTTTTAATTATTAATTTTTTTTCGAAAAAAAAAATTTTTATCTTGCAAATTGGATCAATATTTTCTAGATAATTATTCAAAAATGTTTTTTATATCTTGCACTTTCATTTGGTTGCTAAAACCAGCACTTTAGATAAGGCTGTTAGGAGAATTTACGCTGAGGCAAAGATGTAATTTTACTGTTCTAGATGCGCAGTGGTACAAGCGGTATCCCACCATGTCATGAATTACCTTAAAGGTTTACCCCCTCCTTTTTTTTTTTTTTTTTTTTTGCATGAAATAACATTGTATTAGGGGCTAATTATCTATGTGTAAAGTTGTTTTTTCCCCCCAAATTTTTTTTTATGCACCGAACCTCAAAGGGTTAAGGAAGAAAACTGAACATATATCAGCACATATTCTCCTAACAGTCTTATCTAAAGTGCTGTCCATATTCGATCATGGAAGAATCATAATATATCATAATTGCAGATTTTTTTACTGCAGAAACACTTCTCATGTTAATGACAATCCGAACGCTGTCATATGATTTTTGAGGTGGTGGGCTTAGTACGGAAGATGGAGTGGCTTGCAAGATCAGCAATATACAGACACTCAACAGGCATCTTGGAATATTGCCCATACAGATTGGACAATCAAATCACTCAACCCAGCTCAGAAATTAAGGCGTCAATAACAAGCAAACAAGTATCCTCACGTATGCTGCAACAGTCTCTGCAGTATCACAGACTGGTTACAAGACAGCATTTTATAAGAAGTTTACATTAATACTGTTTTTGATGAAGGAAAGCAATCGGAAAAGAAATTCGCTTTTTCAAAGGAAGGCTAAAAGTGGAAATGCTGTTCAGTGTTAGTTTTATGTATGCTTTGGTTTATTTGATTACAGCAAAACATATGACAACTATCTAAGTAAGAAAAATGATGCCTTTATGGAGAACATTCTAAAGGAAATTAGCTCGTATTCTTATTATGCATGGGATAAACCACAAAAATGCCCCTGCATCCAAGTCCGTTCACCTGGAATCGAACCAAGGTCGAATTACCAGCAATCAATGATTTTACCGCTCAGTGGAGTGAAACTGACTGTGACAGAACATGCAGATTTAGGACTGTTTGGAAGAAAGTGATTATGAAGAAACGCATGATGGAAAAATGAATTACTGTAAAAAATTCAAACACACAATTGGTATTTCATGCCCCTGGCATAAACCAAAACAGAAGACAAAACTTTACGAAATTGGGTCAGGGGCTGACATAAACACGATGACCTGACGAGTAAAGCCAATAGTGGACTATTCATAGATGATCTCGCTTCTATGTTACGAACTCCTATATCTTCCATCATCCAATCTGCAATGGTTCATTTTGATTCATCATCATTACTGTCACCACCTTTAAGTCTTCCAAAGTTATCATTGTTTGTTTGATTAAGAAAGGCTAAATTATACTGTACAAACATTACTTCTGTTATACACCATGTTCATAAAAATTCTTATTCAGCCATTATTTTAGCAACCTTGGTTTTAGACATTCACTGCCAATTACAAAAATGTTTTAACTGGCGCAAAGATTCATATTTTCGAATTTTTTAATTAAAAAAGTTTTTTTTTTTATAAAACACAAAATCTAACTTTTTAAGAAAATTTTGTAATTGACCAACATATTTAATTTCAAAATTTGTAATATTTGATGTCATTCTGAATTTGCATTGAGGGATAGATTAATATATAAATTAAAATAATTTCAGCCTGATTTTTTTTTCATTCTTAAATGCCATTCGATGAAATTCTTTTGTGATTGACTGCCCTTAATTTACAAATTTGTTGGTTTTGCACCATTTGGCATGGCACAAGAATTTTCACACAAATATTTCATAAGTTTTCAAGCCTAAAAATGCGTTATTAATATTCTCATGTTTTATTACTTTAGAATCACATTATGGTAATGATGCAAAATATTCATTACGGTAAAAGTGTTTTTCATTTTTAATCAATGCAAATAATACTATGAGTTGGCTGCGTGTCAGTACTAAAGCCTGTGTTTTTCAGTACTAAATGTGTTTTCTGGAATACAAGATCAATTAAAAAAACTATTGATTAATATTTTTCACAATAATCGGCATAAAAATAGAAATTGCATAATCTGATAACATTCGAAACCTTTTTCTAAACGATGTTTTATTTTTTATTATGAACAAATGCAAACATTTTGCTCTTCAACTTGTGTGTGGCCCCTGAATACATTACACGATTTTAATATGAAGTATCTCGGTCAATTTTTATTAGACTGGAGACAGACTTTTTATGTTTAATGTTTTTATATTGAGTATGGAATTTTCCTAAATATAAGAACAGGGACCAGAGGAGAGTTAAAAAGTTAGATATTGTATTTTATATAAAAGTAATTTGTTTAAATTTAAAATTGCCAAAACATAATTTTTTGCATCATTAAAAAATTTTTATCTCTGCAAATTTATGTCTGCAAATACATACCATCGCTTTAAAAAATAAAGGCCAGATAAGAACATTTGTGAACACGGTATATAGTTGTGTTGTTATCATATATTATTCTTCATTTTAACAGTGTATTAGAATTTATTAGTACGCATTATTTGGAATGAACTTATAGCTTTAAAAAAAAGGGTTGGGAACACTCAGATGTATTCTTTATAAAATAACAGTAACTGCTTCCCTAATTAAAGATACTTTGCTTACAAAAAGGTTTTTCACGGTCGCTGTAATTTCTTAAAACTAGGGAAATCTGTACAAGGGATGTTTCCAAAGTTTTATAAATTTAGGTATATTTCTTTTATTTCATCAATAATATAAAGCAGTTTTTCAACATAATCCTCATTTAATTAAACACAATTAGCCCAACAAAAAAAAAATTTTTATAAGCCATCCTCAGAGAATTTTATGGGTGTCTCCTCTATCCATTTATTTATGCGATAGTTAAGGTTCATTATCAGATTGCATGATATTCCCTCTATGAATGTGTCCATGCTTTTCAGATCATACTCTACAACACTGATTTTGGGTGCCATTACAGATGACCAGTAGTTGCTTATGGGCTCTGCTGCTAATCATTTTATGTCATATTCTATTATGTAGCTTTCACATTCATTGGCTGTTTCCTCCATAGACTATTTTAGTGGTCAGCAGCATATAACACAATTCCTTTCCAATAGGAAGCAAATATAAAAATATATACTTATTAATAGTACTGTCTTTACGTACTTCATGTATGAATAGTAGATAAATAACACTTTGTTGTAATAAATTTTAAACATTAATGAGCAGTGGAATTTTTTATTTATTTTTTAATAAAGTTGTTCAGATTCTCGTTATTGGTATACTTGGCAATATAATAAATTATGAAATTATGTTTTTCTTTAGATGTGGCACAGAAAACAGCTTACCTCTGATTTGCGAGCTTATTCTCTTTTCATAATTCAGCCAGTTCTGTGGATAAAGTTTAAAATTATTAATAAATATATACTGCAGAATTAAGCATATATTAAGAAAAAAAATGCAAATTGAAAGAAAGTGAATATACACTTCACTGAAAATAATGAAATTGCCAGAATTGAGTACTCAGTAATTCTAGGAAAGAAATGAATAAATCACTCAATAGAACTGATTTTATCTGCATATGCCCAGCAATTCAGTACATTGCTCATTAACAATAACTAGTCATCATATAGTGTCATGCAGTGTGAGAATGATGTCTCATCATACTTCTTCAAATTGATGGCATAAAATTACAACATCTTTTGGTTGTTGTGGGAGGTAAAGGGTCTGTCTTCTCATTTGGTTTCACACATATTTGATTGAAGGCAAATCCAGTGATCCGGTCACCATCGGCTGCGTGATTGTCTCTCTGTGAGGATGATGAGAGACAATTATACAGCTGGTGTGCACTCATGTATTGCCCTGGTGGAAGATTCCAATTGAAACTGTAGCCATGAAGAGAATTGTGATAAGCTTAACTACCTCATATGCATATTGTCATCTTGTTAGTTTATCCACGATAAACACTGGTGCTGTGCGAATGTCATAAGATGCTCTGCCCCACATCATAATATCAAGTAAAATCTCTCTGTTGCGTTGAGCTAAATGTGGTCTTAAGCACATCTGCTATTGCATCCCCACACCAGTACTTGACCATAATCGGTAAAACGACAGAAGTGGAATTTGTCATTGAAGACTAACACATCTATTCAGCTTCCCAGTTACACCAGGACTGGCACCAGCAGAACCAGTTGAGGTGCTACGGAGTGAGTGATTATTATATCAGTTAAAACAATGGAAGATAGTACACTATCTTGGATGTCCGGTATTAGAAATTACAAGAACAAGCAACACATGGAGAAAGAAGGTGGATTATATTCTTTAAAGTGAAACCAGTATACTAAGGTTAGTTAAGGTACTGCTTAGATTGCATTTGGGATGGGACCAACTAACAGAATGCGTTGTCTGGTACCCTACCAGATATTTAAATGATAGCCTGGTTTTAGAAACTGTTTCTGCCAAAAAAGAAAAACAAAAAGAATTACATATTTGAAAAGTGACAGGAAAAATGGATTTTAGTACAGTATTTTGAGACCTTGAGAACACTGCTTGACTGCCATACTACATAGGTGAAGGCTTAAAGACGATTGACATTAAACAATTACTTAATAATAAGCTAATGATAAGCACTTAATACAAATTAGTTAGTTAAAGATAAGTGCATTGACATCTTATCTGGCTTAAGATGTCAAAAGATTTGATCAGAAAAAGTTACTCGATATACCTGATAAGTGATGATAAGTGTTTGATAATGAGTTAGTTAATTAGTGAAAACGAGCAGACTGGCATGTTGCCTTGGTAAAGACTTATCTGAAAAATTTACTTGATAAGCGCATTGATCTGATCTGTTATCTAGATGATGGCATAAAGAAGTTTGTCCATACTAATAATAATGGGTATATATGTTATATATACAGGGTGATTCTATGATTATGGGACAAACTTGGAGGGGTAGTTGAGCATACTAAAACATGCATTTTGTGTAGGGTCTAAAGTGACATTTTAAGGCACAAATTCAAAAATTAACACAAGAGGAAAAATGAGTTTATTTACAAAATCAAAGCAAAGCACTTCTTTGCAGCAATACACTATTCCAAGAAATGTTCAAAGGTACAACCACCAACAGTAATATGAACTACGGCTGTGACTGACTGGCAATGGAATAGGTAGAGGGTGGTAGTGAGCCAGGCAAACCGCGATCCGATTGCATCAGCAGAAGAATTACTTGGGTGCAAATTTGGCAGGGCGATGGATTGGGCATGGTGGATCAGTCCGACGGCCACCCCATTTTCCAGATTTATCCAGCATAGATTTCTTTTTATGGGGGCATATGAAGGGCATTATTTACCAGACTCCCGTTGACTCGCTGGAGGACCTCATTGCACGAATATCCATTGCGGCAGCATGCATACGCAAAATGCCTAAGATTTTCCGAAGTGTTCGGCGAACTCTTCTACGATGCTATCAAGCATGTATTACTGCTGGTGGTCGCAATTTTGAATATTTCTTGTGAATACTGTATTGCTGCAAAGAAGTACTTTGTGTTGATTTTGTAAATAAACTCATTTTTCCTTCCGTGTCATTTTTTTGCATTCGAGCCTTAACATGTCACTTTAGATCCTATTAAGATATAAAAATACATGTTTTAGCATGCTCAACCACCCATCCAAGTTTGTCCCGTGATCATAGAATCACCCTGTATGTACGGATGTTAGTACATATGTATGTGCATGTATACATACATACATCTATGCACATATACAAGGTGAATCTGAACAAGAGAGCCAAACTTTAGGAACGCAGCTATACAAGCAATATTTGTCATTTAAAATTTGGGTGGAATGCAAAAGGCAAGCTGCTGGGTGGCATTGTAAATGGTATAAAAGGGTTGTTCCTCGCAACCCATGGCATTTTCTATCGTAGATTGGCGAGATGATGACTGTTTATACAAGCCATGAAATTTCCAGGGCAATGGATTGATGGAGATGGTCCCACAGCTTGGCCACCAAGATCACCGGATCTCTTCATATTTGAACATTTTCCTACAGGGCCATATGAAAAGCCTAATCTATGAGTACATAACTGAAACAAGTTTAAGTTTCTCATTGAAACAAAAATATGGATTTAGTCTCCAGAATCGCTGTTGTTGCAGGTGATATTTGGGAAATGTCTGGTGTCTTCACAAATGTGTGTCAATCCCTATCCTGCAGGTGTGAAGCCTGCATTACAACTGGCGAAAGGTCTTTTGAGCAATTTCTATGAGCATGTTCTGTTCATAAAATGAACATATGAGCATGTTCTGTTCATAAACTGAAGCATCCCTTCTCATTCTTGCGTTGATTCTTTAAATGTTCCAGCGAAAAACTACCTTTTAACTTCTCATCGTTCGCATTCCAACCAAACATTCTATGACGAATATTGCTCGTATAGCTAGTTGTATTCTATCACCCCATAAAGTCTTGGCCCCTTGCTCAGATTCACCATGTACATATACATATATACGCACATGGATATATACATTTCTGAATATGGTTTCGATAACAGAACAGTACCTAAAAATGATATTAAGAAAATAATGATAAATTGGAAAGTGAATTTTTACTTGATTGCAATATACAAAATTAATCATTACAGATTCAAAATTAACAGCACCTTTTTAATTCTTAAATACAACAAATAAATAATACTTAAATATTAAATTAACAGTATTTTTTTTAATATTTCAATTGCATACCCTATTTCCATCTTGATCCAGAAAAGTAAGACCAAAGTAATCCTTTTCCAGAAGATTGAGTTGATCTGCTATTAACTTTGCCAGATCAGCACCTTTGGCTCTTCTCTAAAAATGCAAAATAATTTATTGAAATGCTGAATTTAAAATATTGAATTGAAAATTATTGAAATTTTTATTTTGAGAAACAGTTGCTTTGCATTCCTATCTTAAGCTTTTCCATGAATTTTGTATGTAAAGATGCGGTGCATTTTGTTTTTAATTAATCAAAGCATATAAATATTTTTACAGTACAAAGTCTGTAATCCGGATGTCCATTATCCAGGATGATATAATCCGGACCTCAAAGCCACAAACTTTTTTGTATGCTTTACACATGCGCGTAACACGTTTACGCACGCGCGTTTAATGTTTACGCATGCTCGTTTAGCACAAAAAAAGGAAGCAACTTAAACAACTTACATTGAAAGAAATGTTTTGTAAAGTAAACAAATAAATAGTAAACTTTTTTTTTTTTTTTTTTTAAATTTTGATACCTTTTAGATCATAATTGCTCTTCACTTCATAAATTACAGTTTCATATTTTTAATTGTATAATTTCTGCATGCCATCTTACCTGATTTAAATTGATGATCTATAATCCGGAATCGCCGAAGTTCCGACGAGTTGGGATTACGGACTTTGTACTGTATTCTGTGGGATTCCTACTTTGCTGAACTTCTTATGCCCTCAACACTGAAACTATTAATTTATTGGCTCATCCTTTAAATAAGGTGGTTTTTTTTTCCCTCCCAACTGCATGAAAGGAATGGCATAAACTACCTGTACCAACTAGCTTTAAATGTAGTCATTTTACCTTGTTTTTATTTTGAGTGCAAATTTTAATGAGCGCAGTTCCATTTTAACAATTATTTTTTTAAGGGAAATTCTAAAGGTATGTTATTTTGCTGTTTTTAAATATTTTGTGATACTGCTGTTAAATTGAATTTTACATGTGGTTTAAGTGCGAAGAACCTGATATTGAATAAATAAAGGTAACACACAAAACGTTAAAAAAACGTCCCTTTCGGCGTAGTGTAAAATCTGAAATTATATATATAAATATGTATATAAAAATCTGAAAGCTTTCAGATTCCCTTTGAATGTAATGTAAAAATCTGAAAGCTTTCAGATTTTTACATTACATTCAAAGGGGAGTTCTTTTAACATTTTGTGTGTTGCCTTTATTTATTCAATATCATGTTCTTCGCATTTAAACCACAGAATTCAGTTCAAGCGCAACATCGCAAAATAATTTAAAAATGAGGATATCTTTAGAACTTCCGATACATAGTCTCGCGCGCTGGAGATAATTCCCCACCCCCGAACAGTGTTGCCATTGCTTCCCTTGAAATCGCTGAGTTTCTTAATGGAAAACTCGTTAACGTTTTACAGAATATGAAATAGATAATAAAACAAATTCGAAGTTCGGGCTTCCAGAAGCCCATATTCGAGTGGAGGACAACTTATTGAAAATTTGATGTCTCTAGGTACCGTTGTTTTTTCGCAGTGCGAGAAACATACATACATTCATGCAGATTCTTCATCATTTAATTTTTTTAAATATAATGCAGGGCTCTAATATTTGGTGGCAACAATTTGAAAAGTGAACCTACGTTTATAGTGAATCAACGCAAAATGCCAAAATGAAATTAATTGCGTTTCTGGGTTAACGCTCTTTGGGATAAAAAAAAATCTGAAAGTTGCAGATTCTTTTACACTTTTTTTTTTTTTCCCTTTTCTTTTCATTTTAATTTATGTAAATAAACCGTAGTTTAGTAATAATTCGATGAGTTCTGGAGAATCATCTTTAAGAGAAGGAATACAACGATTATCATTCTCAGATGCAAGTAAATTTTATTATGAAATGTTTATTTAGATTTATAATAATAAGAAGCACCTACGTCCAGATCACATTCAAAATCTGTTCCATCCAGCATGCGTACTCTGCAGGGAACTGTCTTGGAACGGTTTCTCGTTTTGGGTTTCCTTTTGGTATTACCGTAATGAGAATCGAAATCACTTATCACAGCTCCACTTTCAGTTATGGTAAGAGATGTATCCATACTTCTGCGAGAGCCGGTGAATGAACTTGGCGGCAGTGCACCTAAAGCCTAAGAAAAGAACATTTAAATGAATTTCAGAATATAACCTAAAAGCTAAGATTAACTAGTTTATTAGAGGAAATATACGTCAAATATGTATGCTTTTAAAAATATCACGCATATTTTAGTGTCTCTGTGCAATTTTGGAAGAAAGAAAGAAAAAAACTAAACACATCACAGACAGTATGTCTCACAGAATGTCTGTTCTCTCGGCCGTTAGTCATGGGAGGGCGTTGAGATCCTGCATGCTACAAAACCGTACAACCAACATCACGGACCATTAGTCAGGAAATGGACATGTTTGCAGCACGCCTAGTACCACTGGTACGGTGCGTCGACGTTTGCAGCCGCGTGGAGTATCAAACACAACTTTGTCTTCCCTTGACAATACGGCATAGAGAAAGAGAGGGCAACTCTGGTGCGCCGAACGTCAAGCTGGATACAGGAGTGGCACAAGTGGTCTTTTCAGACGAATCTTGGTTCTTCTTGCAGTATTCTGATGGCCGTATACGAGTCTGGAGGCTCCGAGGAGACCACACGTCGCCTGCTTGCATTCGATATCGGCACCTTGTGTGATGGTTTGGGTAGCCATTGGGTACATGACACGCACATCTCCAGTTTGTATCGACGGCAATTTGATCGCAGATCGAGACAGTTCTGGCATCTTACGTCCAGTGGTTGTGCCCTATCTTTGAGGTCTGCCAAACGGCATGTTTCAACAAGATAATGCAACACCACATGTTGCTCGTATATTCTGACCTTCCTCGATACACAGGGTTACAGGGTATTTGATTACTGCTCTGGCTTGCACGGTCTCCAAGTTTGTGACCCACTCAAAACATCTGGTCATGGGTTGCTGAAAGATTGGCCCGCCACTCCTCTCCGTCTAATACGGTTGATGAAGTGTGGCACAGACTTGAAGCAACATGGAATGAGTTGCCTGTTTCTGTCATACAAGCCCAGTAGACTCCATGCCTAACCAGGTAAGGGCCGTTTTAAATACCAGGAGGGGGCAGCTGTTTCTACCAATTTCGCACCCCTGTAAACCCCCAAACTGCTTACAAATTTAATCATTTTATCGGCCTGCCATACTGTTTACGTAGGATAAATATCTTTTTTTTTTTTTTTTGTATTTGCTTTCCTTCATGGTGTTGAATTTTAATGGCCAGCAGTGTAAAACAACACAAAAGAGCAAGAAAAGGAGAGATAGTATTTTTCAGAGCAGAAGAGAAAAGTAGAACTACCATATTCACTCGAAAATAATATCTCCGCGAATATAAGACTCTCGGTACATTTTAAAATAAATTTTTACGAACTAAAAGTTCAGGGGATGTCTGCAGGGGTGGCCATAAAGAAACTGCCTTAGTTTTCGAATCCCTAGCGGCTTATCCTCTCAACCAACTGAAATGAAATTTCAAATATTATTATTAAGGTATGTGGTGAGATTATGATGATTTTAAACAACAGAGTTCTCACGGTTACGGTTAAAAAGAAAAAAATTTAGAAACTTTCGAATGCAAATTTATCAGCACATTGAAAAACTGTAAATGGCGTTGGAAACAGACACGTATGACGAAAATTGCCAGCATAAGACATTTGCAAAGAACAGCATTGTAAAAGACCAATGGCAACACAACAGAGGACAGGAAGCAGAGAGATCTTCATAACTACATCAGACCAATAAAATAAAATTCACGTTTTATTGAAATAAATAACAACTTATGCAAGGTAAACAACTATAAATAGTTCAGAGGAAAAAAAAAAAAAAAAAAAAAAAAAAACCAGAGACAAGGGATCATCTTATTAAAATGCCGGCAAACACAATAAGAACAACTAACAAACACTTACAACAATAAAAAACAAATAACTACAAACCTAACCCAACAAAATATAAAATTAAAAAATACATAAAATACACCAAATGAACAAATAAAAACAGCACACACCACTGCAAAAACATATGGAAACCAAAATACAATAAATAAATAAATACAAATATTTACATATATTCACAACAATATAATGAAAACTATAAAAAGTATTCGTGTAATGAACTCATTTTGTAAAGCATTGAGCCCTGAATTTAACACTTGATTCCCAACCATTTCGACACAGCTTACCATTGTACGGAACTCCCTAAACGTTATTATAGAGGCCCTTTCCTTGGGTAGTTCTTTGTTGTAACTTCGGATAGTCCCAGTGTGGGGAGTGACGAAAATGACGAGACTTTATTTGCACTTTCAAGGAGCTATTCGTGAAATTAAGGAGAAATGAGGTACTGTCGAAGCTCTTGGCAGTGTCCGGAAAGGGAGTTGTACATCACTTGTCAATATATACAATGGATTAAAAAAGTATTGACAATTACTTGTAATTTATCATATTAGCCAGCAAAGGAAATATTTGACAGTTTTAGCTGGTCATAACGAACACAGGAGGTAATAAAACACAAATCTAATGAGACTTTCATTTTAATATGCCTTTTATACAAAATATTCAACAAAAGCGTAAATTTGCATCTCAAAAAAGTATTGGCAAAGTTCTAACTGCTATGCAAATTTTGTTCTATTGAGGTCATGTGTTTTAGACTGATAAGAAATTCTGTTAGTATAATGTTTGCAGGGCTACTTCAAAACTTTTAAAACATTATTTTGCTTATAAGATATTTCTCCCGCCTTCCTAGCGTGCTTTCGTGGTGTGGTGATCTGCACGCTGTGCCGGTATTCCAGAGGTCCGTGGTTCGATTCCCAGCGAAGGCGTTTGCTAATTTTTCACCCTGCCTGCTTCCAAAAATACCTAATGTCCCTACATGCTAATACCGTGATAAAATGGCTTCAAAGTCGAAGGAAGGAACTGGATGTTAATGCTTAAAACGTGATTATTTAGGTCAGAAATGAGGGTTAACTTATAAGGTATTTCTCCCACTTCCCTAGCGTGCCTTCGTGGTGTAAAGGTAGCACGCTGGGCCGGTATTCCAGAGGTTCGTGGTTCGATTCCTGGCGAAGGCGGTTGCAGATTTTTCATCTTTTCTGCTTCCAATTAACCTAATGACTCTACAAACTTATCATAGGAATATAACTAAACATAAGTTTATTTACTGTTAGCGTTGTAAAAATGTTCAACGAGACAAGATCGAGTGGACGGTCTCGAATATTTTCTGCAAGGGAAAATATGCATTATCAAAGGGGTTAGGAAAGACCCTAAAATAAGTGCACCCCAATTAGCCAAAGGTGTTGCTAATACTTCCATAAAACTTTCAATGTACAGATTATACGGAATTTTATACTTGAAGGGAGTTATTATGGAAGGGAAGCTAGAAAGAAGCCTTTCATTTCAGAAATAAACAGGAGAAAGAGATTAGATCTTGCAAAATCTCGTTAATTTATCAGACGTGTTTTGGAACACAGTTTTTTCTCCGACGAATCGAAGTTTAACATTTTCGGGAGTGATAGACGACAATATGTGTGGAGAAAGCCAAACACTGAACTGGAAAAACAGCATTTAACCCCGACCGTGAAACATGGTGCATGGAGTGTCGTAGTTTGAAGCGGTATGCAGCAAAAAGAATCGGTAACCTGTGCGTCATTCATAGTATGATGAGAGCACGTACGTACACTGACATATTGCGCTATAACTTGAATTTCAGTGCCCGAAAACTTGGCTTAAGAACATCATTCGTGCTTCAACAAGACAATGATCCTAAGGATACAGCGAACCTCACCCGAGAATTGTTACTCTATAACGTTCCTCGCCAGTTAAAGACACCACTTCAATCCCCTGACATACCATGTTGTTCAATAAGTTCGCGGAACGGAAATGAAGAAACCAATTTTTATTTGTAAAAATGACTTTATTTTTCAACGTAGTTTCCCTCAACTTCAATACATTTATTCGGACGGTCTTCTAATTTATGGATCCCTTGACTGTAGTGGATTTTCGGCAGCTCTGCAAAATATCCCTCCACGGCAGCTATTACCTCTTCGTTTGAAGAAAATCGTTTTCTACGGAGATATTGTTTGAGGTGTGGGAAGAGCCAGAAGTCGGAGGGAGCTAAATCTGGCGAATAGGCTGGATGTTGCAACAATTCGTACTTCAATTCAGTTATTTTAGCAAATGGTTTTTTGAGCTGTGTGCGCAGGTGCGTTATCTTGGTGGAAAATGATTTTCTTCTTCTGTAATCCGGGTCTTCTTTCACGAATTTTTTCGTCTAATTGATTCAAAAGGTTACAATAATAATCCGAATTAATTGTTTTGCCAGTTTGAAGGTAATCTATAAACAAAATTCCTTTCGCATCCCAAAAAACTGATGCTAACACCTTCTTGGCTGATTTTTGCACACGAACTCGCTTCGGCGCCGAAGAGCCGGGTTCACACCACTCCTTAGCCTCCTGTTTTGATTCAGGATCATGATGGTAGACCCAAGTCTCATCCATTGTGATAAATCGACGGATAAAGTCGCTTTTATTCTTCTTAAAACGCTCCAAATGTTGCTGGCAAAGTCGCATCCGAATGTGTTTTTGCTCCATCGTTAGAGAATGCGGCACCCATTTTGCACAGAGTTTTTTGAAACCCAAATTAACACTCAAAATATTGCTCACTGTGCCCAATGAAATGCCTAAAGCCTCTGTTAAATCTCTTTCAGTCAATCGACGGTCTTCCAATACCATATCTTGTATTTTTCCGATGATTTCCGGTGTTGATGCAGTTTTTGGACGTCCCTCTCGCGGATCGTCTTCAAGGCTGGTACGACCACTTTTGAATAAAGTAGCCCACTTGCAAACCACTGTTTTTGAAGGAGCAGATTCACCCAACACATTCACCATTTCGGTATGAATTTCCATTGCCTTTAAACCTTTCTAACTGCACATTGCTCAATTTTATCCATACCTGAAGAAAGGCACAACACATTAAATATAAAGGGCGGTTAAACAATGAATAAATTAACAGATCGAAATGAAACTTTTGACGTGTTCCTAAGAAAGAACAAATATGAAAATGGCGTCGAAGTTTTA